CTGGTCTTTCTTAGCAACCTTTACTTTGCATGGTTTGCCCTTGCCCTTACCATTCTTAAGGGAATTTTGCCTTCATTTTCTTTCTAATCTCACCTCAAATTTGTTCATATTAAATGTTCATATTAAAGTTCATAATGAATTGAGAAAATGAGTATGGTAAGGACTGAAGCACAAGATCCACACACAGGTTATCTTCTAAGATCATTCCTAGACCCGTGAGCTTCTCTATCCACTCACTCATCTTAAAGACATGGTTCTGAACTAGTATCCGCTCAGTTATCTTAGCGCAAAAAATACTCTTAAATATCTCATATCACTGAGTCCTTCATTGTTCCTCAAACAATTTACGGAGATGCAAGAGAATGGATCTGACATCTATTTTTTCATGTTGCCACTGTAACTCGAGCGTGGGCATCACTATAAGAATGGATCTAGCATTGAGCAAGCATAGAATTATCTAAGTACTTCACGTAGCAAGCGATCTTATCCTCACTTGCCCCTTCCTCGGGCGTGGGCATCACTACGAGAACGATTCTCAAGTTACAGAGCCAATCCATGTAGTTTGGACTAGTGAGGCAGTTGACATCAAGTATACCATGTAAGAGATTTGAAAGCGACATTTTTTGAAAATAAAGATGTAGTAGAATAAGTGACATGTAGATTTTGTAGAAAATAAATAATCAAGATATGGACTTCTATCTTAATATACTCCCACTATTTTCTCGTAAAACACACAACTCGCTTCGGTATATGAATCAGAGACTCTCGATGGATCTCTAGTGGGGATCATAATATAATTGACATCTTAGTGTAACCTCGAGAGACTCGACCAATCACACTAAACTTGAAAAGGTAGGCAACTCTCGTCGATCATAACTCTTTGTGATTCCTATCTTGTTTGGTCTCCAAACAATCATGGTCTCGAGGGACTCGACCAACCATGATATTCAGTTAAGTCATCACTATCATTACATGATATTCAGATAATAATTCACTGAGCTAGAAGGAGTTCTGACATATATACTCACGGCCAGCTCGATATTGGGCCTAGAGGGTCACACACATATGATAGGCATTATGACGAGTAGAGGTTCGAATATGAGATATCCGTCGGAGCCCCTATCTTATTAGATATCCAATAAGCACTTGAACTATTGGATCTCATGAATAAGATTCAATAAGAGCTAATAAGAGATTATTGGGTAGAGACCCGCTAATTTAAGAGGCTTGAGTAATTGGATGGAGATCTAGTACCTAATATGGTAGGATCCATTAGGGTTAAGTTAACTAGGGGCATCTATAAATAGGATGGAACCAAAAGCCGATAGGCTATGACTTCCTAGTTGTCACCTCCTATTCTCCTCTCACCTTCTCCTCCTCAGATAGTAGGTGTGGAGATTTGGGCAGCGATTTGAGGAGTGTCGTCGTAGTCCTGCTGTGTGGATCACTACTAGAGATGAGGGCACTTGAACTTCTTTATCCAATCCCACAGATTTATAGGAATTCAGGGATATACGATCTCCCTAGGTAAAAACACTATCTCATACGTGTATTTAAGTTTTGTGAGTTTTTACGCACCAATCTTCTCATGACGACGAACACCTTTTTAAAAAATTAAGATTTTTATTTTTTGTTCTTCCGCCGCGCATGTTATGTCACCCATAAATTTCCTAACATACCCCACATGACAAGTAGTCCCTTATATAGTTAAGAAACCCTAGCCATTGGGGACTCCTCTGTGGCCAGGAATCCTAGGCCATAGGGCTGCCTTGTATGGCTACAAAACCCTAGCCACCAAGGAGTTCTCTATCACCAGGAAATCTTGATTGCAAGGCAGCCATGGGCAACCAAGAAAACTGGCCACCTGCTTGCCCCATGCAGCTAGGAATCCTAGTTGCCAAGGCTACCCTTGCGATCAGGAAACCCTGGCCACCAAGGCTACCCCTTGCAGCCAACCCCCAGGTCGAGTGCAGCAAGGTGTGCTCTCGGCTAAGGCTGCAAGCAACCTTCACCCAATCTATAGGACAACAATAGTTGCTGCTCTTTCTCCCCTATTGGTATAAATAATTTTGACGTCAAAAGCCCTCTCTAAAATATTTTTTAACGGACGAAATAGGTGCAGTTCAGATTTAAAAACTACGACAAAAATCACAGCAATCGCGCAAAAGTAATTCTACGCGATTCAACACAACACACGCAGTTTAAAAATCAATCTTTCGCACGAATAACTTGGCTTTAATACCACTGTTGAAAAACCTGGAGCAGCATCACATATGCAGTAGAAAAACAAAAAATAAAAATATCAAATTTTTCATAAAACAATGTTTCTCGTTATCATGCGAAGATTGGTGCATAAAAACCCACAAAATTAAAAACTACGTTTATATAAAAGATGTGTTACCTATGAAGATCGTATATCCCTGAAAACTTATATTTCTGTAGGAGAAGATGAAGAAGGTCAGATGTCTTCCTCTCTAGCGATGATCCACATGACAGATACGACAAAAACACTCCTTAAATCGCTACACGATCTTTCTCTCCACACGCATCACATGATTAAATAGGGGCACCCTTTCTTGCTATCCATACACCCCAAACTGGGCTATCAGTTGAGGAGGAGAGGGAGGGAGGAGTATAAGAGATGACAACCAAAAGAAATTTAGCCTATACCCCCTTTGGTTTACTCCTATTTGTAGAGGTCCCTATCAACTTAATCCTAATAGATCCTGCCCTATTGGGTATTGGATCTTCATTCAACTACCCAAGCCTCTTGGATTAGTGGATTTCTATCTAATAATATCTCATTGGCTCTTATTGGATCTTATTCACAAGATCCAATAATTCAAGAGCCTACTAGATATCCAATAAAATAGGGGCTCCGACGGATATCTCGTATCTGAACCTCTATTTATCGCAACACCTACCATATGTATGTGATCCTCTAGGCTCAATATCGAACTGGTCATGAGTCATACCTATTAGAACTCCTTCTAACTCAATAAATTATTATCTTCATAATAATTCACTCGACTCATCGACCACGGACATACTAGGCCACTACGTCGCAGTCCCTAGATGATACAAGAGAATCCGATCCACTGGACATATCTATCCTCAGTTACCATGTATCTATAGTCCCTTATCCATCTAATATTCTAGAGATCGTATACTAGGCATGGTGCTATCAGGCCTGTACGGAATCTATTCGAGTCTCTCTCTAATCGGATTCTCTTATAGAACGTTTTCTCTCTCAATCCAAATGACCTTAGCAATGAATTTTTCTGAACAATAACACATAATATTCCTCTCATGGCACTAGAAGCGAATAATTCTCTATTGACACTCAATTGCCCTCATAAGATTGATTGTCACTCCCGATGACTAGTTGTGCTAGATTTAAAATTTTCTAACCTATAAGTCTGGTATCAAAGAGTGGAGTATTTATACAGAATATTCTTTGTGTCTCAAGTTTAAGGACCAAATACATAATTGGGATGACATAATCGATGTCTAATAATGAGGTATCATCAACCATCTAGCATTTCGTGAGCGGATCAATCAATGAACTCAATCTCCAATAAGCACTTGCACTGTATCCCTAGTGTCCCCTACATGAGCGGCCATGAGACCAATCACTTTTATCATATGGACGAATATACAACATACTAGTTTATCTAGTTATCTCAATATCCCTTTCGAGTAACCTACAACTGAGATTATTTAGAGTTTGTGTTTAAAGGCGAATCGATCTCACTATCGTGATCTCATCATGATCTGATTTCTATTGCACAAATTCATAAACATCACACTATATGCAATAGACAACATAAAGTGAAAAAAAAATCAATAAATAATAATAAGCAAAAAGAGTGTGTGTCGTGTCACACATGTCATCACTCACGTGATTGACTTGTAAGGCACCTATAACTAGCACATGGTGCTGAGTTTTGATCACCTTAGATAGTCACAAATAGTCCATCATTCACACATAAGCCCTTGCATAAGTACTGAATTCTTTAAGTTAGAAATTCCCCTCGGGTCTGTGAACTTTGTACAACTCTTTTAGTCGCTGAGCAATCTATCTCACGTTACATGATCTTATCCTTTTCCAAGTGCCCCGCTTGCCTTCACCATCAAGTTTGGTTGTCAATGTCGAGCTATAGCTCAAACTCAACCATCCTAATCTTTGTACGTTACATGTTCTTCTCAGCTTGCTTGTCCTCGTGATGCCTCTCAATGCTCATTTCCCCCAGACGATCATGCCTGCTGGCTGTCCTCAACACAGCCTCGCTTAGTCCCCCATGTTTGCATGCCCAAGTATTTCTAAGTATGTTTGTCCCGCTCTAATACTATCTGTCATAGACTTAGTTGATTTTACCTAAGTCGTGCGACACCCTTGCGTATCAATCTAGAAAGAGTCAACCTTCTTGAAATCTCTTTTGGTTCCTTAAGAACCTACAAAAGAAAATACGGGTTAAAGAAAGAGTTAAACTAGGGATCCATAAGTAACGTTTTCAACAAACATTTTATAGACAATACAAATTACAAATATGAACTTTACAAGCTTTAAACGATCGCATAAAAAAGAGTCTAAGGTGATCCGTCACAACTAAAAGTCCCCATAAGTACCCACATGATATTACTGTGAAACAAGATATGAACTAATCATGGATAATACCCCAAAGGCCTATATAGCCATGTGTCCCCCGAGTGACTTTTGGGTGTTATACTAATTGACACTCCGAGCCACATTGCGAAGCTAAAAAACCTCCCAAGATGACAGCCTGAATGACCTATTTTTAGGTAGTTTTGTCATGACAACTGCAAGCAACCTAATCATAAAAGTCAACCAAACATAAAAATAAACCAAACAGGGGTTACTAATCTCAACAGTAATATGGCATCGAAGCAAAATATACCTATGCAGTATCTTAAATATGTCAACAGTAATATCTCATTCTTCAGTTTTTATCATCTCAAGCTCTGCAGATCTCCAAATCTGAAAAAGAAATAAATGCACTGCTTTGAAAACTTGCAATTAACTTGTAAAGGTTGCACACATGATAAGCCAACCAAACCCACGCCAAAAACTATATACAAACATGGAGTTCCCGTAGAGAAAGAAGAACAGCGCAACAAAAACAAAATTTTAAGTGAAAAAAAAGGTTACTAATCTTAGGAAGGGCCCTACAAGATGTTTGGTACTTGTGAAGCAAGTTTTAGCTGCAACTCCTTGATCTTTGAGCATAGCTCAGTTTTCTGCTCCTTGTAGCTCTGGAGCAAGAAATCCTTCCCATCTATTACTTCCTTCAACTCCTGCACTTCTCTCTTCAACATCTCGATCCTCTCTCTCTCTGCTTTTGCTTTCTCTGCTCCAACACAGTTTACTTCCATGCCATCAACATTGTCAGGATACCCGTTCATGAACCCATTTGTAGCCTCGTGATGCCATTGTCTTGCCTCTATGGGTTTCTCAGGCGAGACCACCTCTGCAACACAATGGTCAGCAATGACCTTTCTTAGCTGCTGGATCTCTCTTTCAGAATTAAACAAGTCTCTGCCAGTGCAATCTAGTTGAGCCTGCAGATGTGCCGATTGGGACAATTGAATGTTCAGAGAATTCTGAAGGTCTGTTATCTGGGCCTGCATTTCCATGATCATTTCATCCCGTCTCTTGAGCTGTTGGCGTAGTTTTTGGATCACCTCTCTCTTGCTATAGATATCAGATCCAGATTCTGAGATGCAAGGGGAGCCTGAGCTGTTTGAGTGGTGCAATGGCTTCCTGGGCATCTCAAGACGATCAGGCGATGATATCCACATCACACTTCCAACATCTTTATTTTGTTCTGCTGCAGGGATTTCTACCAGTGTAAGGGAGACATCTGCCTCGTGTGCCACTGGATTTTTGGGTTGCTTGACATCCACTCTGCCTTCTGAAGTACCTATAGCACATCAAACATGGAAAAGGCCCAGTCAAAGATCGAAGGCGCACCGCAGAATATCTACAACAATGAAGCACAGATACAAATATAGGATGCATAAGTCAATCATGGAAAAGGCCAGGTCAAAGATCGAAGACGCACTGCATGATATCTACAACCATGAAGCACAGATACAAAAATATGATGCATACATGTATGATACAGCTGTTGGATACATGTAAATGAAAAGTTAAAATTTCCCTTTGGTTTTGCCAGTTCCCCCAAGCCTTTTAGTCCCTGATGGGGAAGGAAAGAAAGGGCTTCCTTCACTTATAACTACTCATCAGCCTTTATCCATTTGGACTTGGAAAGAGAAGTGTGTTGTGGATTAAACTTTAATGAGCTTCTTCAAACAGCTGCACCGGACCAAAGTAGGCCAGGTTGATAAGGACGTGGGTTGAACTCAATTCAAGCCGAACCCTGTTTCCTAGACCACACCTAAATGGTTCCTTGGCTGTTTAACGTTTAAAAGGTGCCTCCATTGGACCTAACCCATTTGGAAGCACCCTTTGGGGCAGTCAACGGTTCTCTGACTTGTTGAATTCTCACTTTCTCTTTTCAACTTAACCTCAGTCCTTTTTGGCCTAGGTTTGAGTTGAATCAAATCACATCTAACCAAGATTTGATGTACTACCAATCAATTATATGATTCTGCTGCTACTTACAACCTATGTATGCTGCAAATCATACAATTGATGTGAACTTGAGGTTAACATAAAATAGTGTATCCACACCTCGCTGATGAATGCTAATCAGAAAAACATCAGTAACTTGAAGACCATCTTGGGGTGAAAGGTGTTCCTTCAAAGTGGACTTATTTCAGTGCATTATTCACAAATGACTCAGCTCATGCCAGTTCATATATCATTCAGCATCAGATCCATTTTATATATGAGAACCAAGCTTGGACTCAATCTCAAGAGGAACCTTAATTTGAATAGGCTTGCTCAGGAGCAGGCTTGAATAGGCTCATTATATCTAATATTACTATAACACTAAACTTATTCATTGAGCATTCAATTTGTTTGGTTTCTATATAAGAATTATGGGAAAATTGATATTTCAAAAAGAAAAGAGAAATATATATGAAATTTATACCATCCTTGAAGCAAATATGATGGTTTTGAAAAGTAGAATGATCATTTAGACCTTGATTAGTTGTTATTAATTTTTTTTGTTAAACAAAACATAAAACTATATAAATTTGACTAAAGCTTGAATCAAGGTTGAATTTAGCATTAGATCAACTTGGATGATAAGATATTATCCCATTATTATGCCACTTAATTGCATAAGCTTCAACTTTACTTAAAATTGGATAAACTTAGGCCCAGTCAACTGCATATGATTTGAACATGTATTAACTTTAGCTTGGTCAATTGGAAAATTAACTGAGCATAAACAAAGCTTTCAGTTTGAATACGGTTTCACTGAGCTTGAAAGAAGGTTCAATAAGTATGTTATATTATTGCTTGACAAATGTAATGTATTTTATATTATCGGCTACATTTACATTGCAATCAATATATGATAAACGTAATGTATTTATTGATGAAGACACTACACCATATAATTAAAATATATGCCAACATGAACGTCTAAGAATACAGCTGTTACTGCTAAAGCCATTAGAGTTCAATTTAATGCATATTTTATTTATAGAAAATGCCAAAAAATATCATGCACCATATATTAACCGTGTCTAATACTTTAGGTTACTATATGAAAAACTCAATAGAAAGACCTTGACAGATGTGTAACTTGAACTAATATTAGTTTTAGATGCCAAGCAAGAAAAGTCATGTGGCCTTGCTATTGATAACCAAAAGTAAATACATGACACTAATAAGTCTACTCACTATAACATCTTCATTAAATCTATGTATGGATATGCTGAGAGGCAGCCTATAGATGTGGTTGTTAAACAATTTGAGTTGATAAAAATTAGTAATTAAAGAAAGATAGATGAAGGCTTAAGAAAACTTAGCTAGAAGCAATAAAAGATATTATAATGCTCTTGATTTAAATAGAAATAATTACATTACATAGATTTTAATGATAAGAAAAAAATATCCATGTAGCCAACTCCAAGTAGTTGATACATTTTAGCTTATTATTGTTGTTGTCGCTGTTGTTCATGTTCATGTGCCACATCATAAGAAAATGCACCAATCAAGAATTAATAATTTGGCAATTGCAATATCTCCATAAATAGACCATACAAATTTAAGAACTTGAGAGAAAAAGCACCTTTGTTTTGATACTTCGTCTATATGAAATTTGTAGAGGGTTTTCCAAGACAACACACCTGAGAGACAGTAGCAACATACTTCCTCATCCTGATTAAAGTGATAAAGACTTGAATGCAATTGGCATGCGCCTGAGCTTTTCTTGGACGCAGATTTTCTATATTCTGTGTGGACATCTAAAACATTTAATATTAAGTACATCTTTAAGAAATAATATGCCAATATAGCACTGGCACAGGTTAAACCTTTGTGGGCAGTATCTTGTCTTCTTATCTGAAAGGCCTTCTTGAGCTTACATCCTAGACTTACTGTTAGTGTGCTCAGCAATGCACTGCCTGCAATAAGAACCCAATTTGGCCCTTCCTGTCGTACATGATTCAGCTTTTGAACTCTCTGTATGGATGCAGTTGTTTTTGATGTCATCTTAAACCTGTGGCTGGAGGAAAAGTGATTGAAAAGTTTACTTGATCTGCACCAAAATCCAATAAGGAGGCTAAGAATCTAATATGACAATTATCGGAGAAGATACTCATTTATCGAGCTCCAAAATAATGGCTATTTACATTTCTACATATACATATTAGTCAAATCAATAAGAAACAAAGTTACCTCAGCTCTTAATGCACATATTAGGCATGAATACTTATCCTCTATCTGATCTTCTCTTCATTGCTTAGTTATTTATTCTTGTTTTAACCTTCATATCTTGCAAACAAAACCTTTCCTTTCAAAATCAAAACAAAAGAAATTTCTCAATATATTAATAAGACATCAAGCACATTTATAATTTTCCTAGTTTCTTTTTTCTTCTGTGCTCATGACAACCTTGATTACTTTCATATCTCTGATTATGTTCACTGACACCAACATGATTTCATATCTCCAGTTCATGCTAAAAATCTTGATTAGTCAACTATTACAACAACAACAAAACCATAAGTATCAACTATTTGTAATCGGCTACATGAATTTTTGCCACAATTGAGACTTAACCAGTCAACTCAAAAACATAAATAATCAACACTACAATATTAGCTAAGGTTGGCCCCTTAATTATATTCCTATGACTGCTTTACACTGTGCTGTCATGTATGGATTACATAGGTATTAGCTAAGGGTAGCCCCTTAATTATATTGCTATGACTGTTTTACACTGTGCTCTCATGTATGGATTATTGATTCCTAAACAAACATAAAGAAACAATAACTGTTACAATAATATGATGCATGAATTGGGAATTTAATTCATGTACCTTTTTTTAAAATATCATTTGTTTAACAAATCACCTCTAATTATGTCTCTGATAGCAAGCTCCTAAGTTTCTGTAAAAGGACCGTTTCTGTAAAACAGTATCCTTTACAACAGAAGATATTATAGCCCTAGATACAAGGCAAACGTTTTGATTTTTTTTTCTATCCATGTTTGGGATCATTTTGATTACTATTATCTTCATATAACACATGTTGTTCATCATCGTTGCTCCGGTTTCACACAAGCATATAGCTAAAATCTCAATCACCTGACTCAAACTTGGGTAATAGCATGGCAGAAAAACATAAACGTGGAGTGTTACTTCCTATCAATTGTTATAACCAATTCACTGGTGGATAAAGTTAATTATACATTAGGCCTTCCTCAACACAACTAAGTCCGATACAAGAGTCTAAAACAAACGTGGATCAAGCATTTAGTTTGTTTCAAATCCTGCATGACATCCCTTCTCTTTCCAACACAGACCCTTCCTTTCCTGCAAATGCAACTATTTCTTTCCTATCATGATTAAGATAACAAAAGAGGACAATGAGAATCACACAGAAAAATGCTGCATCAACGTAGCTACCGCTTCCTAGTTCAAATAATATTCATAACCAATTCCATAACCTTCAAGAAGAAGAAACAGAGAACAAGTTTTCCTTAAGAAAACATCACAAATCAACCCAAGTCAATCAAATACATTATCAATATAAAGACCCATCGATCGAGCACCGAGAAACGACACTCAGGCGCCCCATGGCGCACACAGAGGGAATCGATCGGGCAACATCACGAAATCAGGACCGGAAATAGAAGGAGGAGGATACGAATCGGTCGATCGTACCTCGTGGGGGCGGAATCGGCGGCTGCGACGATCGATCGGATCTCTCGCCCGCAGCAGTTATGTGTGTGTGGTACTTTCCGGTATGGAAGTGCTAACCAGTCGATGGAATCGCCTCCCTTCTCTTCTACTGAGGATTCAGCGGCGGTTTGCGCCCCTCCTCTTTCTCCTGCTGCTCCTCCGTTACGGCCGCGCATGCCGCCATATAGCTGTCGTCGTTGCCTTCGCCCTCGGAGACCCGATCTCCCGTGCGGGCGCCCGCATATAAATACCGGCCTCCTCCGGACCCGGGAATTTATAGCCCACTATTAATATAAATATTGAGAACATCATATATATATATATATATATATATATATATATTAATAGAAAACTGAAAATTTGTGACATTAATAATCACGACTCTAATAAAGTGTCAGATTGCAATTTAGGATTTGAATCCAAAGACCTATGATATTTTGAAGTATGCATTCTTTAATTATTTTACCTTATTAACGCTCTAAGAACATAAAAGCTTCTAATTAATAACTATTACGAACAGTATAAAGAGAATATTTGATTCATTGTTTAATCGAGCCAAATTATTTGATTAGTTGTTGAAGAGTTGGAAGCATGGTGTCTCTTTAAAACCTTAGTTTGTAATGTGTTTATAACAGTAAAATTTGTTTATAAAACATATACACATGATAACTCTGTTTAATCTCAAGTCGAAAATAGGAGTCGACTCATAAGAACTCCTTGAATATATCCTAAAACCTACTTGAATTTAAACAAATATTCTGGCTTAAACTAAGTTATTATCCTTCGATTTGTCGAGACAAACTCACCTGCAAATAACACAGTAATAATGAGCAAATTTCTTTGTATTAATTACTTGTGCGGAACTGGAACAGTAAAGTAACAAGGACATCAGTACTCACTTGTACAGAACTGAAGCAGTAGTACCATGGATGATGTTAATTGTGCATCAAACTTCACACAAGAAATGCAAGTCCTGCATTGCACCGAACAAAATGCTTTGTTATGATGCTTTCTACAAGACCAGCAAATGCTATTTGTTTCTTACACAACTGGTTGGAAGTACATCAACTCTTGGGAGATCAAAATGAAATGCCGAAAAGACTGATCTCGACCACAAACAATTTCAGAGAAATAAAACCAACACATCTGATAAGTAAAAGAGAAAAGCAGGTTATAGCTAAAAATGAATAGCTTTATCCAAAATTTAATTTGCCAAACTAATAATGAGATGCTTTGGAAACACTTTGCAACACAAACATATTTATTGAACAATCATGGACAGACACCAGAACCTTGTGCTTGCTTCCATTGCCTACTCGGTGTACAAAATCCCAGCTCTGCTAGGCATGTTGTCCATGATTTGATTATATTAGCTCCAACTATAAATACACTGATTGAAACTATATATATATATATATATACAGACCTAAAGCAGAAGGTCCATTGTTCTTCATTGAAGAACAAAGTGGTTTTAGCCTGAACATGTGTGGAAGCTGTGGGATAATATTATCCTGATGCTCCTGCAGCTGCTGTGGATCCTTTTTCATGTTCGTGTTGTTCCTCTTTGGCAAACTCCTCGATTAACATCTGCTGTCTCTGTGTTAAATTGCTGTCGAAAAAACATAGTTCACCAGAAGTTAAACATAAACCATAGACCTCCAGATGAACGAAAATTATAAAGCAAAGAAAAGGTTAACACTGGATAAAATGAACTTACACTGGTACGGTTACGTTAAAGTGAACATATTGGTCCCCATAGTAGGAACTGTTCCTCATCTTTATTCCTGCAGATTAATCTCTTATATTAAGCTTCATTATGAAACCTATGTTACCTTCTCTTACATAGAAATGTGATAGAACAAAGTAGTCTTTTTGCTGTACGAAAAGACATGCTAAGCATAATAAAGCTGTAGAACAAGGTAAATAATAGCATTTGCAGTCAATAACCAACAATAAGGATCCTCCCATGCAAAAGTCCAAAAGTAAAATACAATAAAATAATCCCTTTAAGACAACCTTCTGACCAGGTTGAGTACCAGGTTTAACCTAAAAAGTAGAAATCCAGCACTCGTTATATGATATTTATTGTATAATTAAGGTATCTCTTCCCTGCTCTACTTGAATATTTCAGAATTTGCAAGGATGGCAAACTGACCTTAAGAACTACGTCTCCTGTGAGAGTTGGCACTTGAATTGTCCCTCCTAAAATTGCCTGAGAATATGACATTTAATAAAATCCATCTTAAGCAAACAATTGTTTCCTTACCGTTTGCCTTTCCATAGGAATAACTCCTGCTTACAATCATTCAAAAGCTAGTTGTCACAATGCTAAGACACTTTAGCACAAGACCAAGGCCTGCTTTTATACTCTTGACACTGGATTTATAGTTCCATTTAAATATTGTCAGTCATATTATCATATGCATATGCCCCTATTTATCTATGTCAACACAGTCAAAGTATGATGTGAAAGACATTAGTACCAACTAAATAGAGCTGTGTTATGATCCTAGTGAAGGTGATGAGAATAATTGATCTAGAAAATGGGTGAAGGATTGATGTAAGTCAAAAATAGAATGCAAGAATGGGAAGGTTCACAAGAAGGCCATAACCTACGCTGATACAATTCTTACCCAAAAGAAGAGAACCAAAATAAGGAGAAATGACCCAATTGAAATCTAGAACTCGTGGTGATTTCAGATTTTGCTAGTAGGACAAGTAAGATAGTCAGATGCTTCATGTAACTCACCGGAAAAGAACCTAACCCAATTATTATCCAATTCATAAATCCAACCTTGGTACAAGATAAACATGAATACAGAAGAAGGTACCTGAGTGACACTTAAGACAGCATCAACATGAATGTCTTCTTTCTCTCTCCGGAAAACAGGGTCCTCCCTCACCTGAAAAAGAAATTGCAGTGTTTAGTGGATTCTAACGCCAGCTCATCCCAGTATACAGGAATAAAATTGTTCACCTTGATAGTAACATAAAGATCACCAGGTTGATTGCCACCAGGATCTGCACCCCCACTTCTATAAACTTACAGAGCATCATTGTCATCCGCTCCTGACTATCAATGTAACAAAACAAACAAAGCATCATGCACACTGGACAATTAAGTAGACTAAAAGTCCTTGCTTAGTAGAGATTCTTTGTTATTAGAATAATGATTCAACATCATAGATATTCAAGTGCTTAGTAACAAAATCACATTTCCGAGTTTCCAATATGATTTTTTTGATATTTTTGTGATATTACAATATGTATATATAATTATTACTGAAAACGAAAATAACATAATAGCACACGTTACACCAGATAAGTAGATATAGATTTGGCCTCCATAAATCTGTTAACAAAACAGTTAAAAGTGAATTTAAATTTGGCCTCTGTAGATCTCCTACCAGAACAGTTGTCAAACAAGAAATGGAACAAGAAGAAGCTTGGGTAGATACGCAAGTTCCAGAGTAATATTAGGAGATTAACAAATGTATGAGACATATTAAATACAAAAGTACAATGTGAATATAGCATCACAAAATCTAAGCTACATGTCAACATGTTTTCATCTTTCAAACATACCAGGTACCACATCCAGCTTAACTGACTTCACACCTTTCACAGCTCGCTGTCCTCTGCATGACTTGCATAGGCTCTGAAGAAAAAGAAAACGGTGGGCCCTCATCAGCAAGCATACAAGAAATTACCCAATATACCTAAAACTCAATAAAAAAGGACCTATGAACAGATGGTTCTAAATAATCTTTGAAAACACGTTACAGTTGGCCTCGATGCCAGGCTCTCAAATTGATGTCAAATACAACAAAAGTAATACTTGGAAACAAGGGTTTTCACAAAATCTGTAAGGTACAAATTTCCATCTTCAACACAAGATCTTTTGACTACATAAGAAGATGCCATCACTAATAAGGCATGTCTCCCTTAACTCCAATAAATATTTTGAACCTAGCATTGAACTCTTTCTTATTACTAGGCTTTAGTCTGGATAAGAATTCAATGCTCAGGCAATCAGTACCCAATTCAAAGTGAGAACATGTGCAATCCACAAGGGTAGCCTTCAAGTCTTGGATGTGTGCATCAAAACTAAACCCAACTGGGTGGGCAAAAAACTCACGTAATTAAGCATGAAATGATCGTACTGACACCTCCAATAGGTAGACAAATGTTTCAGCTATCTATCTATATTCAGAAAGAGCTCAAAGAAATTAACCTTTTCCGGGTTCTTCCTCTTGCATTATACTTTTCTGAGTTTTCTCTCTCTTTGTGGCTTTCAATTTTCTATTATGAAGAATAATCATAAAGGAGCCTCACAATAGTCATCTCATATCTTTAACATCAATTAAAACTGAATTTTTAAACTAGCCAGAACTTAGTTTTTGTTTCGTCTGGCAGTTTAGCATTTTTCTACCACTACCATAACTTAGCTCCTGTTAACATTTCCTGGATTTCTCATTTCTATCCTTCCACCATGCAGATTGTTCACAACAGATTAAGTAGGAAAATAAGTAAGAATTCCAAGAATCTCTAGAAGCACGGGGTATAATTGCAGTAGATGCAACAGACTACAGATGAAAAATAATCATGCATCAAAAAATAAATACTTTGACAGTCCTCCCTGATCCACCACATTGTGAACATGTTGACTGCAGCCTGAAGGAGCCATTTTGCATGAAAGTCTGACATGTGAAATTTTGATAATTTGTTTGAGTGAAAATGTCTGTAGAATAACAAAGAATCAAACATATAAAACAGAAGTCACATTATCTAACCATTCCAGAACCTCTGCAGGCTCTACAGGTTTCAGGCTTTGTTCCAGGAGGGATGCCAACACCACCTGAAGAAAATTCCCATAATGTTAAGGAGTTGGTAGAAGCTTCTATGATGATCGTTTTGAAATGGTTGGCTCTCTCAGAAGAATGGATTTCCATGTCAATGGACACGAGTCAACATGGTTAGAAACATGCTGTTGCAGGAAGGTGTAGGCATAAGCACTATCAACTCATGTCAGCGGTGCTGACATATGGCAAGGCCAAGTTTGAGCCTATGCAAACTGGCACAAGGGTGTGTTGGTCACTACCATACTGTGCCAAAAATGTATTGGTACAATGCATGACATGATACTGCAATTCTTGTTCAGAAGAACATGTACTTTACCACATGATTCACAAGTTACAGCAGTTTGGAAAGTCACAATCTTGGTACACCCTTGAACTGCTTCCATGAATGAAATTTCAAGAGAAACCTACAACAGTAAAATGGTTGTGCAATATTTAGCAACTAAGTAATAAGCAGCAGCATAAGGGAAACTTTAGAGGAAAAAGAGAAAGAAGAACCTCAACATCTTGTCCTCCAAATTCTCTCTCTCTGAACATACTTTTGAAAAACTGGTTGCATAGGCATGAGACAATCAAATTTACATGTCAAAGCTGAGAACACTAAGGACAACCAAAAGGTATAAATAAGTCATTCAACTTGTACAACTAAAATTGTTGATCAGAACAATTCAAAGAGTTGTAGATCATCTGTGCAAGGAAAAACAACAATATGGATTTCGCTAATGGCATATTTTCCTGCACATATCCACTCGAAAGCAAGTGCTCATAACTCTAGTCCAACCGTACACATTGGCTTAGACAAGCTTGGCTGGCACCTGCCATTCTGTCACAACAGGCCAGCAGTTTCTAGCATCTTCGTACATTAATTTCTCAATTCATCATATTTGTATATTAGTTCCTGCATCCCCGAAGCATAGTGAATAAAGTTCCCTTATGGGTACATAACTGCAACAATAAGGAATATAATAAGAATATCATTTTCTTAAATTCAAGTCATTATAGGATTAAAGACTTTTCTAAATTTTTCTCTTTTCTTCTTCCTTACGGATAAGATGAGAGAAATTGTTTAGGATGATATGAGCATGTGTTTAAGAGACCTCAATATGTAATAATCAAAAGAAGTAAAATGATTAATGTTAATGGTACGAGGAGAGGTAGAGGAAGACCTAAAAATACTTTAATAAAAACTATAAATAAATATTTAAGTATTCTGAGCTTAACTAAACATATGACTCTCTACATATCTCAATGGCAACAAAAATCCATGTAGCTAACCCCAAATAATTGAGACTTACAACTTTGTTGTTGCTGTTATCGTGCTATTTTCTTCTCCAGAAGACATAATCCATAAAGCTCAAAAGCACAACTCAGTACCCCATTTTAGCTCTGAACGCTTCTAAATAACTGATTGATTTTCATATATAATATGGATTACTTCTAAAAATGTTTAAACGTTGGGAAACATATAATCATTATTGTAGGGTAATGATCTCAAACAATCCTTAGATTCAAAGATGATCCAGGTTGAAATGTTCAAGGTTAGAAAACAAATAATCATCATTACAGTGCCGTACAAAATATCAGGTCACAGTTCACTGCAGTAACAGTCCATAATGCAAGGACAGAATTGCAACTAACATTGTCAGCGTCATCTAAAAACTCTACAAGACATAAAAAGATCTTCATATATCTTTCTTTCAGGTCACACCAAACTCTACTTTTAATCATCAAAAATGAAAATAACAAGTTTAGTTTAATAGAATAAAAAGTACATCTCTCTACATACAGCAAACAGAGTGAAAGATCACTTGCAAAAGGAAAATGTACACGCACATCGTTGAATCCTCCAGCACCACCAAATATATCTTCAAATGGATTCCCAAACCCAGCTCCTCCAAATGGTCCATTAGGACCGGGACCACCTCCAGCTGCAACTTGTTCAAATGCATCTGGACCAACCTGCCAGATATCAGATAAATAATTCACCAGAGAGAACAAGGGTAACAAGAAATTTCAGAAACAAATTATTGATTGACAGTGAATTTAATTGAAAAGCTGCTCATGCGCATGCAGAAAATGTTGAAATATAAGCTAGATGTATCAACAGATAGCAAACTGCTGATTTAGAACTATAAATGACCATCAATCACTAACAAATGCTTGAGTTTGTCATACTGTCGTTTAGTTTAATTCTACTAGGCCTATATATCTTACACTTACAAGCTATATTTGAATCTAGCAACTAGTCAACACTAGCAATCACTAGAATTCTGACTCTGCATGCATAAACATTAACCACAGAGAAAATAAATCTCTACTTTGTAGAGTTCTAGTCTTTTACAAAATAAATTTTAAGCCCATACCCACTGACTACTCCATATAAGCATAGAATTTTGTCGAGAAGATGTGATCTGCTCAGGATCAAAGGTACTAATGATGCAAACACAGGATAGGTTGAGGTCCTCCATTTTGTTTATGGTTATGTTTATCAGTTTATGTGAGTCCTAACTACAAAAGATTTGATCGATCTATTATCTCAAAAATACATTTCACCTTTTAATTCCCCCTTCTTACCTCTTTCCAAGAAGAAAGCTTAACAAAGCACACATCATATTGAGATTCTACGATAGAAAAGCATTGAGAGTCTAAAACCTAGAACATGACTATAGGGTCATCATGAGTTAGTTTCAGGATGCAAGGGATGTCAGAAGTCAGAAGATGGATGGGTCTGCCTGCTACCATTAACTTGTTGAATCTCGGATTTTGATGATAAAATCAATTGATGAAGTTATGATCTAATATGCGTTTAAGTGATGCAGGACTATCTTCGATCAAAAAAGACAAATCGATTGAAGCAAGAAAAATCGGACGTTGAGCCGAAGTGAACATGTCAGAAGATTGGACGTCAAGCCGAAGGTTCGATCGACGTGCTGGCAGAAGGACCTCGTGCCATGAGTTCGGGCATCGGGCCGAAGGATCGCACATTGCGCCAAGGAGATCGGATATTGCGGAAGGTTAACATGCCGATTGGGCAATACGCCGAAGGAGAGGATGATGCGCCAAAGGATCGGACGAAGCACTGGATGAACTAATGACATGCCGAACAACATAATATTCTCGCTTTGTAGTCATTTGTCTAGATCGAAGTAATTTAGGGGATTAATTGAGTTAGTTTTTAATGTAATCATGTTAACTCAATTAGGGGCCAATTGGGCCTAAATTAGGATTGATTTGGGCTCATTGGGAGGCCCATTCAATGACCCCAAAATTGGGTCAGGTGGTGGAACCGCCTATGAGCTGAAAAAGTCAAAAGCCTAGCCTCCGAGGCTGTCAAGTGGTGGTACCGCTAGTGTCAGACTGGTAGACGGTGGTACCGGCCGTACCCGGATGACCCAAAAATTTAAATTTTTGGCTCCATTTTTTAAACCATTTGGGGCCTATAAATACCCCACCTGGGCAGCAAAAAAGGAGCAAGAATTCTTAAGGAAAAAACTGAAAAAACTCTGCCAAAACGTTGAGTTCCCTCCTCCTTGAGCTTAGAAGTTGATCTAAGGGAGGTGTGTGAGAGTGACCTTGTAAAAAAGGGGTGTAAAGGTTCTCTTCTGAGCTTGTCAAAAAGAGAAAAGAGTTGTAAGAGGGTAGTTGATCTTCGCCCATTGAAAAAAAATCGTTAGTGGAAGCCGGAGGCCTCGACGGAAGAGGAATCGGGAGTGGACGTAGGTCACGACGACCGAACCACTATAAATTCGATGTGCTCTTTTTTTCTTACTGTTTACTTTTGTTGCTAATTGATTTAACTGTCTACTACTTGTGCTTGCACTCTACATTTAAACATCTTTCCGATACTCGTTTTATCAAACTAAAGTTTTTCAAACCGACGTTTTTCATGATATGAAGCCACCATTGGACTAAATCACATATGCTGCCAACAACACATGATTCGAGGTTAGGAGTTAGTTTAAAACCTTGACAAAGACTTCAACGCTAAGTGTCTTACATCTAAAGAGAATGAATGTAATTATGTAAAAATAGACGATTCAATTGTTATTAGCTTGGACTTAAGCATTTTATATTGGTAGTTTAAAATCGTCAAGTAAATTCATCGGTTCTCTCATGGGACTAGATTATTACAAAGGACCTCTGTAAATTTGAATTGATTTCCTTTTTAAGGTAAATTTTACATATTCGGTAATCCTCAATATTTTTTCTTTTTGGTCAACATTTTGATGTACTGCTCTCTTCTTCGTATAGATCTTTTTATTTAAAGTTAATTCCTTGTCTACAAAATTTTTCCTATTGCATTTTCTATTTTCCCTATGTGTTATTCACTGGAACCACTCATCTATTACATGAAAAAGTTTTGAGCAACTAATGCTCCAATACCACCTAAGCACACACATAACAATAAAAGAAGTAAATGCAAACAAACAAAAATTTCAACACCTGATTATATAACCTTCGTTTATCCTCATCCTTCAAAACCTAAAAAAGGAAGAGAAAAATGTTTCATGTTCATAAAGTTAGAAGCAGAAGATGGAACAGTTCTACAATATATTACATCATATGGGTGTTGCACTTCTTGGAATTTTCTTTCTGCACCAGCATCATCTTTGTTTGTGTCAGGATGGAGCTTCTTAGCAAGCTACACAAAATTTTCAAAACGAGTCAGCAAATTTCACAGCAAACATAATCCGATGATATAAGAAAAAGGAGTTTACACAAAACATCTTTGTAAAATCTATTCTTGAAATCTAGAACAAACAATGGAAGAACTATATTAGTCTCAGATTTCAAAACAGATGAAAAATCAAGAACTTGGAATTTGAAGAGTCTCTGGATGAAGACCATGTCTTCGATGGCCATAGTATGCATTATTAGGTTGTTTTTCCTTATCTCTTAATAAAAAAATTGTCTTATTAGCTACAAAAGGCATGGTGATTGTATTGCACTTGGGTTGTGTCTGTAACCGCATTGCTCCATACCACACCAATAGCTGTTTCCTTTTCTTTAAAACTCTTCCCATGTGTAAAGGAACTTACGACAATTTCTTCTTGCGTGAGGTAAAAATGAACTAATATGGTACATCTGAACCCAAAAGTTGAACTCTTACATGTTTGGGTAAACCTCACTTATAGCTAATATTGCACCCTAAAAAAAAAAAGAAGAGACAGCAACAATGTAGGACACGAGAGAATGAATGGCAACAACAAAAGAAGAAAATAGTAGACAGAAACGGGGGTGACACTGTAAAAGAGATGCATTCTCAATGAAGCAAAATCTTCTTATACAAAAAAAAGTCTGATTGCTCTAATCTAACACAATATGTTCAATACTAAAGAGAGAATCGAAAAGGAAAATGTTTCATCTCCCATCCTGACTTGTGAATTAGATCCCTGTGGAGGTGGTGTTTTGCACATACAAAAAACTCTGCTCCAACCCCACTGCGCTCCTCCCACAATCGGTACCAGATATCCCATTTGTGAGCTAAACTTATGAGTTAATTTGAAATGTCAAGCAGTGCTAATAAAAAGGGGTCAATTAGAATAATGGTCGATATCAATGGAAAACTATTCAGCAGTCCCTGAGTGAACACACAGAAGACCTAAGATGCAGAAGATCACAACATGCATGCCTCAGAAAAAAATGTTCTCTTATACATCCATCTGTCAGCTAATTTAGGTCATGGCCTGAGCCCAGAGACAAAATCTGAGCCTAATCTTTGTTCTTATAGTCTGAATCAGATTCCAAGATGCAGTGTACAATAGAAAGTATTTATCATCACAAAACTTCTTATTTTCTAATTAATGTTAACATCAATTTCAGGAATTTCAATGGGTAATGCATTCTCATCAAGTCCAAGAGGAAGTTACAGTCCTACTAAGCTACTTATGAATTTGATGTATGACATGCATAAGAAACGTTTGAATTATTTGGTATCCGAACACATGGTATACTAGGTAAGAATGAAATGAAATGTAATGTGTTTGCGCTGCAAACCGAGAAAACCAATATCATGCACCCATTCACAAAAAGGATAATGCTTAGAAATGAAATTGACAGTTCATCAGAAAAATTACCGCATGGTAGGCTTTTTTGATATCAGAAGCGCTTGCATTCTTATTCACACCAAGTACATCATAGTAATCCTTTGCAGACACTGACCGTGTACCTCGATATAGAATCAGATGTACAATAAGAGAAAAGAACGCTCAACGGCTCAAGACATAAAAAATCCAAAATGCAAAATCCTCAGCCTGTCCTACTTCAAAATTCTACAATCGTTAATTCCTTCAGCTTCCATACGACAAGAGGGAACGCTATGCATACCATGAAACGACCTGCTCGGGACAAAGTGCCACTGAAACGCTCCATTAATAATCCCCTTCGTAAGATTCGCTGCACAATATGCAAGACATCGGTATTCAACCACAAAAAAGAATTCAATGTTTAGTATATTAGACGCTACAAAATCATGACTTTTCCACCATACACATGCCCATACCCACGTAACACATCGTACCTGCTTCGCAATTTTCGTTTACGACACTCCGAGACGAGCTGCAAGCCCAGGAAACGAACCGGGCCGATGCGCCGTCCAACTACAACAGCCCATGAAAAGGCTTCGGAACTCCACAGACGAATCAAAAAAACAACAAAGAAAACGACACAAGAGAGGGGAAATCTCTACCGCAGCGGCGGTTGTCGATTCATCGAGGAGTTTCGATCCGAGGGACCTGCGGGCGAACCAGAAGCCGAGGCGGGCGGCGTGGGGCCTCATCGAAGGAGAGCCGGCTAGGTCTCAGGGCCTCTAGTTGCAGGTGTTCGACATCAAACTACGGGCTTAAAAGAGGCCGAAGAGAGGTGCGAGGGAAGGCAAGGTTGGTCGAGTTGAGGAGCTCGAGAACCGGAAGGGACCGCGGGGAGCTTCTGTGGTGGAGAAAGGTTAATTGGAGAGGGGCAATTAGGGTATACAAAATGGAAGACAAAACTTCAGTAAAATATTAGTGGGGAGTAGAGAATATATGTTCTGTTCTTGGGGAAGAAGAAAACGCTGGAGATGTCTTCCTGTAGTCTGCTCTACAGAAGATTGATGGATCAATTGACTGATTGATAGATCAATTTTAATATTTTTAAAATACAAATAATAATAAAATATTATATTAGACATATTAAATATAAAAATTATAAAAAAAATATAATGATAAATAAGAATTGATCAGTTTGGATAAATCACATTTGGGAAAGATTATCAAGTAAATAATTGAATTATTAAGATAGATTTTAGGGTCAAAGCGAAGACATAGATCACTCATCTATATCATCGAGTGTGATAAAGAAGTAAAATTTACTATTTGGTTAGCCTATCGATGATCCATCAAACTCCCTCATCAAAAGTTGAGGATTTGAAACCTCATTTTACATCAAAAGTGAGGATTCAAATTCTTATCATATGATTTTTCTTGGTTGTACAAGATTCACTTATCAAAAACGAACTCAAAACATTATATGTTACATTTTACTCACTTAGAAGACATGATAAAATTTGGAATGACATAAATAGTTCGCTTGTGACATTGATGACAATGATTATCTTCAAATATAATGGAAGACAAGGAAGCGCAAAAGATAGAAGGGGAGAAAAACACATTGAGGACTGCACAAGGAAAAGAACAAATTGTTGATCAAAAAACAAATTAATAAAGAAGAAACCAAACAATCATCCTATAATCAGTCATGTTCTGCAGAGTACAACCTTTTGTAATGTTACTACTGTGTCATCCAAACAGAGAAATATTCATATTGCAATCTATTTATCTTAATCAATATTGTATAAAACATGCCAGCCAAAGAAGAAAGAAAGGAAACTATAGGAGCCAACTCTTCTACAAGAAGAATATGTTGAAAACCAAGCAGAAGATTATTGCTATCAAACCTTCTTAGTCTACCTGTGATCCTGCCACACACATCCATGAAAAAGACAGCAAATGTGCTTGGTTTTTAAGGCAAGATAACTCCGATAGTAAGCATCACACTGTTAGTGTTCTTGCTTTAGTAGTCATCCCCAGCAGTCTAAGTGAAACTAATGAGCTTTGCAAAATCTGGTTTACTAGTTCTTCGATATATTATCACACATCCATGAAAAAAATGAATGATTAAAAAAGATATTATGGCATTGTTATGTCCCTGTCCAATGAGATAATTATTTGTAAGCCTCCACTGACCTACAATGCTTTAAGTTTAACTTAATATCATAATCTCTTCCACTTAAGGCTTGACATCCTCCTCAAAACCTATACATAGCAATTACATGATCATCAAAATCAAATTCCATTAAAGATTATTGTAATACATAACAAAAAAATTTGTCAAGAAGCAATCATCATAAACAAGTAAAACTTATAGCCACATGCCCCCTTCGTTCTAGCATTAGCATTTGCACCACCCTCAAGTAACAACCGTTACACTGATGTGCCATCATTGTGCAGGCATATGAAGGAGCATCACACATTACTGGGTATACTCAATGATGGCAATTTGAATTATAGCTCTAGTAAATAGGGCATACTGAGCCTAATTAAAACACATTATTGATGGTGCACCAATCTGATCATAAGTAGCATAAGCGGTACACTTAAAAATAAATAAATAAAACATGAATATCAAAAGTGTATGCACAGAATAAAACTTTTTGCACTGTCTAAGATGTCAACAATATATTGGTTATTTCTGCCATTTGATAAGGGTACACTTCTTCTAATACTATGGAATGGCTAAATGGAAGATGTAAACCAAAAGTCTAAATCTGTGAAAGGAAGATAACCTCTAAAATTCAAATTCCTTAAGCATACAGAGTGATTTCTACATACTTCCCACTAGGGAGGTAAAATTTGCAATTTTTCGCAAACCAAAATATGTAATTTACTAAAATAAAAACACACACATCACATTACGGCTCTCAGGTGTCAGGGCAGGAAAAGTTGACATTTTATATCACACTGATAGAAATTGGTACACTGGAGCACATGTATCATCCAGATTGTGCATGATTCTTGGTGCTTCAATGAGAGCAATTTTGGAACAATGATGCATCAAGTCGACCAAACCTGATCAAGTAATGACAAAATAAGGTGAAGGTAAAGGAACAAAGAAAATAACTTTTTTTTCGTTTTCAACTCTTCAGTGGTGAGATTGTTCTAGCTCACGTTTAATTTGTTTGAACCAATTAGACAATTAAATATGGATTAAGAATTCAGTGGATGGCCTATACTTCTGTGCAAAAGAAAATAATCCAGTGTCAAAGATAATTAACTCTGTTATAATCCCATTTATCAACTATATCAATCTAAACTAATTTTTCCATTTTACAGTAGAATCTTAGGCTTTTCCTCTAATGTGCAGATGAGCATGCATTTCTTCCAAGTCACAAAAAGGCAAATTAAACTTCTAATAACACAATAACTCTTTAACATACTAAATAAGTGGACTGAATTATTTAGGCAGACAGCAAAGTACCAGTCTAATAACGCAATAACTCTAGACAGATAAGCATTTTTTGTTGACAACTTGAAATTTAAAGCTAATAAATGAGAGAAGATATAAAAACACCAACACCTTGCAGGTCACCCTTACTGGCACCAATGTGAAGCAGGGCACAACCCTTGTCATCCCTCTCCCTCAGCCTTTGCTTGAAATATCGTCAGCTACACAAGTAATTCTCCGGAGGCATACCTTACCAGATCAAGAATCAACCATGAAAACAAAAAAGAATAAATGACAAATTACCTCAAAAAAACACTTTCTTTTTTCGAAAAGAATAAAAGGGAGAACCAACAATCCAATCCGAAAGCAAAATCAAGGCCATTTAGCAGGGAAGAGAGTAGTTCTTTATGCGAAAGGATGTGATCAGGGGCGAAGATACGGAGAATGCTGAGGGCTGAGATCGGAGCAATGATCCAAGAGAAAATAAAGAAGAAGACAGGAGCGTAATGAAGGCGCCTAATTATTCGATCAAATAGAGGGAACCCTAAATCAAAACGAACAAGATGGACAGAGAAAATAAGAACCATTAATTATCTTTTCGACAACAGTTTCATGACCTTTGATGAGGACAATCAATGATAAGTATTGTCAAGTTAAGCCTATGGTCATCAATCTAGTAGCTCGACCGGATCGACAGAATCTATACATAAGGTTCAACGTTTCCATGGTTTTAGGGAGAAACCTACCCGAAGAGAGGGGAGGAAACCATCATCAGAGCCTACAAAACCGCATCGATCAGAATAAGAAAAGACGATGAGTATTCTAACGTTAACGAAGAGACTCGATCCGACCTCGCGGCGTGGAGATCCCGCGAACGGGAGCCGCGGAAGAAGGAGAACGTCGTCGCTTTCCGCCTCCGATTCAGTTGGTGCAAGGCGGGAAGCGGCTCGTCCGCCGACGGATCGCGGCGTTCCCGACCTGCACCAAGCGAACCGGAGGCGGCATCGACTGCCGAATCGTAGCCATCGCCGGCGGCGGCGAAAAGAAATGTCTCCATCCCGTCGCACGGTGTGCAATTTATGTGCGAAATCAATGGACCTGATTGAGCCACGTGGTTTTATTATATACTGTTTGGGATCCGACGCTCATCCTTGAAGATTGAAAACAAAATTATTTATTTAATTATCCGAAAGATGCAAAATATGAGTTTTTCTGAATAATCCCACGTTTCTATTTTAAAAATATATATCTTCCTTTGTAAAATGATAAAAATACTCTCCTTACCAAAATTCAGATCCAATGGTAAATTGGATTGATTACAGTATCTCTGAACAAAATTATATTGTTTTGATTCAATAACTTAAAACATTATAATTAAGTAAATATTTACTTTTTTCTTATAATCTTTTTCAAGATATATAGACTTGAATTTAAGATAAATGAGAAGAAAAAAAGATGTATCATGTTTTATTCTGATACATATGTCAAAGCCTTCCTTATTCCTAAACAAAATTATCTCAAATATATCATTTAATGAGACTCTAAAGCCCATAATAAAACTGATGATTATAATTGGTTGAAATTTGAATCAATTAAAGGATATTATTTTAATATAGTTATAATGTATTGGTTCAGTAATAAGAATCATCGTAATCATTATGATAGAAAAAAAAAAGCTTTTTTTAAGGCAAAATGAGCTTTTTGATTATTTACTAAAATTTTAGAGAATTTTTTAAATAAAATAAGGCCAAACACTGTTCCACTAAGTAATATAGTATATATAAATAATAAATTATATTTCCTGTGCACCAAAAATGCAATATTTTAAATTTAAATTGGTTATGAGAATGAATGAAAGATTTTTGTAAATGTTTTACTAAAATTTTTTTGTATTTTTTATTTTATTACAAAGAATAAATAAAAAATATGGGATTCCATCCCACAAATTTACTGTTTACAGTCAAAGGTGTTTCCCTTCTTTAGTATTCTTCTCACCCACAAATCTACACCCTGTCCAAGACAAGGAGAGAAGTGCTCTGATAGCTAGCAATCATTCAAGCATCAAAGTGATTCACCAAACTCACTTAGCAGACTTGCAGATCCATATCATGCAGACAATGTCTAGAATAAAGACATGAAGCATGATAGCAACAACAATAAATAGACAAGGGGGAAGTGCCAAACTCTGTATTCTTAATAGTACTTTCTAGAGTATGATTATATTAAGGAATTTGAAGAGCACATGCCCTATGCACACATAGTAGTAAGGAAATTAATTTCATTTTTATGCTTCATCCATCTTTCAGCATTTAAGGGTTTGAGAAGATGAACCCACATTTCAATAGTAGACCTATCAACACTTGATTAATATTTCGGATTGATCATCCATTGATATCGTAGAGTCAATCCGACTCGACTTATTTCTTAAAAAAGAATTAGATCATAAAAAAAACATATTTTCTTTTTAAGTTCGGATCATTTGATCGAAAGAGTCATTAGCACAAGTGTCACCAGCAAGAATTATCCAAGTGTAATGTAAGAGAATCTTATATTTATAAAAATACTTTTGAAATAAAAATTTCTTCTTTAAATGATATTAATGTGATAGTTCGAGTTGATTGGAGGGCATGGCGAGTACCGAATGACATAAAAGATTGGCTATGTCTGTTCCATTAAAGATGATCTCTCAGTTCATGGGGGCAGCAACATTCAAGCATGCCTGTCCACCAAGAGACATGCACAGGAAAGGAGACTGTTCACGGAATTAAGCGTCACTGTTGTTGGATGAAGAGGTTCGCCAAGACACCCTTCATATGTCGTTTCTCCAACGAGCAAACCACTCAATTACCCAATCATTTTGCACTCTCATTTGACACCTCCTCCGCAGATGGAGTCCATGTTCAACCAAGAGGAAATGAAATGATGGAGTTGTGATGGAACTACTGGAGGTCACTGTTCTTCCGAGTGTTTGAACCTGTGAGAGAAACCAAATAGATTCCTCTTTGCCACTGTTTGAGATAGGAACAAGGCACAGTGGTGCATCCAACGCAGCTCATGCCATGCCTCAACTTGGTCCTCTGGCCACACAAAAGCAGAGAGAGTCTGTCCTCACTTGTGCAGTTCTTCTGAGGCAGAGCAAGAATCTAGCAGTAAGTCGTGACATTTTCCACTAGGATGGTTGTGCTGTCCGAGCTCGAGGAGGAATAATTGTCCTGCATGTCACATGGCTGAGGATTTGGAATCGATGAAAAGCATCTGACAGAATTGTGCGAGCAAGGTTATGTTCTTCTGCCTGGTGATCACCGACTGTGTTCAATGATTGAAGCCCATTAGAGTGGGAGATGCAGCAGCTTTGGCTGCACAGACACCCACTGTTCTTAGGTGAAACAATGTATCATTCTGGTTATGTTAAATTCTTGTTTCTATATGGACAGACAAGTGTATGTGATTCAGAACAAATGGCTAACAATTTCTTACTTGAATATGACACTCTGAGAAGAACAGTCGGTGACGAGTACACCATGCAAATGGATTCTTTGGACAGATTTTCTTACATATAAAACCTGGAAGATATCGGCATGACCATTTTGTTGATGATCCGATCAATAATTTAACATGATATCAAAGAAAAAGTTCACAAGTGAGGGAAGATTTTGTTGATGATCGACAGTGGTGTATAATTTGACATGATAAGATGAATGGTTTTTGGAGCAAGTCTAACATTGAAGATCAAGGTAGTGAAGAGAAGGCAAGATATTAGGAGGTGACAGATTCATGACCAATCTTTTCTGTGGCTTCTGCCTTTCATGATCCAACACAGAGAGCTTGGCTTCTCCCCTATCCAGGCCATGTGGGGCTCCTCTGACATCTGCCATCATGTGATCAACTTGATGACAAATTTGCTTGGTTTGATCCAGTTTGTGCACTAGTTCACTTCAAGCAACATGTTACTTGATAACAGAACTCAATCTGACTTCGATACAAGCATATTCTAACCAAATGGTGACTCTGAAATAATTGATGCAGCATTTTAGTCAGTAACATCACTTTACATGAGGATATTACTGACTCAATCCATCAAGTTTTTCAGCATGGCAAGTGCTCTGAGTTCTTCAGTTTCCTCTCCAGATACAATATCTGTTAATGGAAATAGAACAGTACTAAACTTTTTATTTGTTCTTCCTTTTACTTTTTTCTTGAATGGTTAAAACAGTGTGAAAACAGTTATCATGTTTGACATATGTTTAACAAGTGTTTCTGGTTCAATAAGTTATAATAAATTCTCAATAACTCTCATCTTGTTGTTCATCATGGTCTATCTTAATTCGAGAATATTAACAAAACAAAAGTAATATTTTATATTACTTGAAAAGAAACAGTGTTTCTTAGTTTCCAATAGAAATAAATACTCTTAGTTTTCTTCAGTTCTGTTTGATTTTCTTGAAAAGAAATAGTGTTTTAAGGAGAATTGAATCCATTATAAATCCTTTCTTCTTCCCTACCATCATTTGTTCAAGGATTTCTCTCTCTCTCTCTCTATTTACTCACTCATGATCTCTGCCTGTGCTGAAGAGCTGAAGCTACTCCTGTTGCTGCACCATCAATCCTCTTAGGGCTAAAATGCCTAGTACAACTTTTGGAGTGCTCATAAATTTTGCATGATGCCATGCATTTCTTTTGGTATGTTTCATATAGTGTTTGGCCATCTATTTCATGCAATCTTTATGGCTTTGCTGCCAACATGGCATGAGCATGAATGAGATTCCCCTACACCTAATTGCCGTGCCATCATCAATATTTGCCACCAATTGCCATCAGTGAGAACTTAATTGTTGCCTTCAACTGCTAATAGTGAAAGCTGCACACTGACCCACCTAAACATCAATGGTGATGGCCATACAAGTCCACGCTGTGGAGGGCAGAAGAGGCAACAGCAGTTGAGTGATGAGCTTCATAAAGAGAAGGAATTGAATGTTAACTGGTGTTGCAGTTGAATTGCAGCAGTGCTGCTGAAGAAAACCAGACAAAAAAGACCTGCAAAAGTTCAGATATGCAGTCACCTTCAACTTCACTGTTGCAATTAATGGTGCTGATGTAAAAGGTTATAAGATTAACCCTAAAACCTAAACCTTTCATGACAGTGGAATGTGAGAACCAGGGTTTGTGTCAATGGCAGTTTCATGACCTAGGAATGCGAGAACCTTCCACCAATGTGCTTGTGTTCATAAATCATTCTCCTAACAATGCCAATGGCATTAGTTCCTTGTAAGAGTTCACTACTGCAAATGGCCTTTTCGCATGATGAGTTTGGTAGTTGTCTTTGCAGAGAGTAGGGTGATAGGCAATGCTAAATTGGTCTAAAGGCCACCAAGTTTGTGTGACAAAGAAGTGCCTGAAGGCATTTGATTGTGGCCAAAAAATGATGACTCAGTTAATAAGATTGGAAACAGATATAAGGACTTTATATATACATATATTTATATATACCCCTCCAAAATAAGTGGCTTTACTATTTATCCTCTAAATTAAGTATAGCACGTATATTCTTGCAAAACATTAAAAGATTTGAATGATGATTGAAATTCTAATACCCTTTAGAAACTTATTGTTTTAGGTATTTAAATATTTTTAGAACTCCATCAGCTAATGCTTACTGCAGTTAAGTATGATTAACCTGAGTAGTTTTTGGTTGGATGTGAACATGAGGATATATGTGAAAGATCTTAATATTTGGAGGAATATATATGCATATGCAATGTCAAACTTTGAATGCATAGATATGTTAATACCCCTCATAGTGTCTATCTTAAATTTCTAATATGAGAAGTGCTGTGCTTTTCTTCAATCTTCTATTTCACGGTGGACTCAATATTCTCATGACTGTTCTCAGGAATTTATATGTTACTAGTAACAATTCAATGTAGTTGCACCCATTATGGTGCTGGATTCCTTTTGTAGGAAAATATGGGCCATGTTTCATTTACTAGAATTTACCTAATAATCCAACATGCAAGAACTGCTATAACAATGATGCAATGTTACGGTGGAAGAACAAGGAAGATGCTTTTCTTGTTTCGTTGGCTAGAATGCAAAGCCTGGCCATAACAATGATGAAATAACATCGTATGAATGGTAGTTTGATTCACAATGTGCTGTATACAACAAGGATATAATAGCTGTTAATGTAGCTATCATGTTCCAATATTAATGTGATGGTGCACTGCATCCATCAGAAACTGTGATTGTCGCTGCAGTACTTTCTGTACGTGCCACATTGATTGCTATTGTCTTTTCGATGCATTATTGTTGTTACAATTACATGCCACTCATTGCCCATCTGATGTTTGGGCTGAGATACATTTCAAGGGCAGATCAGATCTTACGGGCTCTCCATTGCCTGGGCTCGACGAGTCATGGCATTGTGCAGTGCTCATCGTTCGCAGTGCTGGTGCATGACGTGAAAAGAACCGGCAACAGCACAGCTTGATTTCATGAACAGTGTGAAGGTCATCCATCACCTGTTTCATCCTTGATGGGTTTCCTGTATTTGTCTCAGGCATACATGTGAATTGCGTAGACGAAAGAACTGTCCAAGAGCCTTAAAGACACACAGCTTCCTTGTCTTCCATTCTGTGCTGGAAAACAATCGCATTTATGGTGGCAGGTGCACCGGTGCAGTCCGAGAAGATGGTCTATGGTCAGCCGTGCATTTACCTCAGTCCTCACGGGGCACTCACTAGTATATGTAGACGCAAGCAAGGGAAGTGTGCTCACCGAAACCCCTGAGAGAGAGAGAGAGAGAGTTGAGGTATCACAACATACATGCTTCAGTTTTTGTTTCCTTAATCTTTCTTCCCTTCACCATTCCCTTGTGAACGACTCGGTACTTGACAGCGCATGCCATGGCCGACCCAGAAGAGATGAAGACATGGAAGACAGTGAGCCAGCTGACACATCCAAACCTGATTCCGGAGCGTCTGAAGGAGTCACTGGCGGCTGTTTGCGACACCCTCCTCCCTCAAGTCGACGTCTCTTCCGTCGGGGACGAAGGGCTCGTCGAGTTCTACGGCACCTCGGCGTCCATGGTTGGCACTTCTGAGCACGTAAGATACACCACATTGCAACGAACAGTGAGTAGAATACTTGCAGCTTCACGACCGAGTTCTCGATGTGACTCTCGTTCGAGACTTCGTAGATTTAACTTACAAGACAGCAAATAAGACGTATGTCAGCTGTTGTCTGATACATATAGGCATCTGCTTTCAGATCACACATGAAACATATCGACTCGTATCTTTACACACAACTTCTCAGAAACTATCGATGGATTTACACCACACAGGTAATGAGATGAAGTGTGATGCAGATTGGAGGACTGCTCTCCGGGGGACTGAAGCACCCGGCGGCCGGGCTGCTCTACTTGGCCCTGTGGTTGCTGTCGACATGGTACGGCACCTTCGCCATGTGCGGAACCAGAAGCTTGTCGAAGCAGTTCCCCTACTTCCACAGGTTCGCCAAGGTGGAGAGGACGAAGCGCGAGCAGATCCTCCTCTCATGGTCGCTGGGCTCATTCCCACTCTATGCCATGCTCTTCAGGTGCCTCAAGTATCTTACCATGCGCCTCTACTTCACTCAGGTACCATCTCTGTGATGCTCCTTTGCTCATCTTTGGCTACTTTTTCCTTCGATAATTGAGCTTATTTACAGTGATTAAACTTAGCATTGTAATTTTGATTATCCGTGTTTTAACAGTCATCTACGTTTCTAAATAGATTAATTGCATTCCTTTCCAATTGCTTGCAGCTCAACGATGACCGCACCAACCCGGCATGGAAAGCAATGGGCTACTGTGGACCGGACCCTGACTTGGTTGACCAGAGTCAACATTTGGGGACCCCACAACACCAGGAAAAAGACCCGGTCGACCAAGAAGACGACGTCTTCGGTCCGCTGCACTCGGCTCTCCTTCACATGGAGAAGCCAAGAGATGTCATCACACGAATGCTACACAAAGCTGGCTTCCCCGCCCCTGCCACCTTCCCTTCTTCCCCTCTCACCCTGTCCTGCGACGCCGCGGTCATCGGCTCCGGCTCTGGCGGTAGCGTCGTCGCCGGCGTCCTCGCCAAGGCTGGCTACAAGGTCATTGTTATCGAGAAGGGGGACTACTATCCCAGCAGCCGCCTCTCCCTTCTCGAAGGACCGGCCTTGGGCGCCATGTACGAGGGTGGCGGCCTCGTCGCCACCGACGACGTCGGAGCCCTGCTCCTCGCCGGGTCCACCGTAGGCGGCGGATCCACCGTCAACTGGTCGGCCTCCATTCGCACCCCGGGGCATGTCAGACGCGAGTGGTGCGACGAGCACGGCCTCGAGCTCTTCTCCAGTAAAGCCTACGATGAAGCCCTCGACGTCGTGTGCGAGCGCATGGGAGTCCAATCCGACGTCAAAGAAGAAGGCTTCAACAATATGATCCTGCGAAGAGGGTGCGAGAAGTTGGGATATCCGGTGGCCAACGTGCCATGCAACGCCCCACCTGATCACTACTGCGGGTGGTGCCACCTCGGTTGCAAGAACGGGAAGAAGCAGAGCACCAAAGAGACGTGGCTCGCGGACTTGGCAGACTCCGGGAACGGGTTCATCCTCCCCTGCTGCAAGGCAGTGAGAATCTTGTACCGCAAGGGAAGAGGAATCGGCCGAAGCGTCGCCAACGGAGTCGTCGTCGCGTTCGGAAACGAAGAGTTCACCGTCGAGTCGAAGGTGACGGTGGTGGCAAGCGGCGCCCTCAACACGCCGAGTTTGCTAAAGCGGAGCGGCCTCAAGAACGTGCACATCGGGAAGCACCTCCACATCCACCCCGCCGTGATGGCGTGGGGTTTCTTCCCGTCGACTAGGTGGCCAGAGGAATGCCGGAAAAGCTACGAGGGCGGGATACTAACCTCCATGTGCCCGTTGTCGTCCTACTGCACATTGCTGCAGACACCAGCTCTGCACCCCGGCATGTTCGCGACGGTGACCCCGTGGCTATCGGCCGCGGACTTCCGGGAGAGGATGACGCGCTTCTCGCGCACTGCTCACATATTCGCACTTGTCAGAGACAAAGGGTCCGGCACGGCAGACTATCCGGAGTCGGTGGTGTACCGCATGGACGAGGAGGACGAGGAGAAGCTGAAGCGATCATTGGAGGCTGCGGTGAGGATACTGGCGGCGGCGGGAGCAGAGGAGGTGGGGACGCATCACGGCAAGGGAGAGAGGGTGAAGGTGGGAGGAAGAGGAGGAGGAGAAGGGGTGGAGGAGCTGGTGACGGAGGTGGTGAGGAGGGGGCTGAGGGACGGGAAGACGCCCATCAGCACGGCGCACCAGATGGGGAGCTGCAGGATGGCAGCGGACGCGAAGGAGGGGGCGGTGAGCCCTCGAGGGGAGACGTGGGAGGTGGAGGGGCTGTACGTGGCGGATACAAGCGTCTTCCCCACTGCGCTGGGGGTGAACCCCATGGTCACAGTGCAGGCCATCGCTTACTGCACTGCCCAATCCATACTGCAAGTGTTACAGGGCAGCAACAACAGCTCTTATTAGCCTCTGCAGTAACACCACAACTACTAGTGCTGCATTTGCAACATTCCGCTCTATATATAGTGTGTGATTGTTGTTCTATCAATGTCAGTGTTTTGATGAACTCCATCATAATAAATTTGAATGTTCTAAAATATGCTTGGGTTGGAATGTACAGGTCACAACATCTACATGTTTATGCTATAAGATCATCTTGATTATACTGCATCTAGTTGTGTTGTCAGACTTGAAGTTGTCAAAGCAAGGTGGTGATCTTTTACTTCTGTGCTACCTTGGCCTGGAAATCTTCATGGTGTGGATGAGTTTGGATATGTGGAGGCTTCTTAACTAGCAAAACTGGATGCATGCATGCTCTGGAAAAGCTACAACTTTGTTCAGTGTATGATGCAGGGGTTTTCTTTGTAACTGATGTATATTAAGTAGCTAGGAGACATGGAAAGAAGCAGTTTGCATGTTGATGTTGCAGTCCATTGTTCCAGGATTATTGACAAAATAAGCTGCCAATTATTGGTGGAATTGCTCTTCCTTACATTGGCAGAAGTCTTATGAACTGTGGATTGTAACTCCTCAGAAACTATAATTCGACTTAACATGCTATTCTAAATAGAAGAACTACAAGCATTCAATGGTCTTATGAGGATGAATACACGCCCAACAAAATGGTTGTTCTCTTCTACTGCTCTTGTCTCTTTGCCTGCAACATTTAACTGGAAGCTAAAGGACTGTTTGATATAATTAATTCTTATCCTCTCTCCCTCCCTCCTTTTCTCTGATGACTTGTGAGGAAAAAACTAACTCCTTGAGTCTCAATCCCTCTCTCTTCCACTTTAAAGATCTGAAGAACCCTTCAGTTTGAGTTTGACCTGAAATCAGCATGTAAGAAGAGAATTGGAGTAGGAAGACAGGGCACAGATCACTTCTGATACACTGCCATGGCCTTGAATCACCTCCTCCTTTACCTCCTCCCACTAACCATCTTATCTTCCACACTTGATGGTGCAAGCTGTGAAATCCAGGAGGCTGTGATCACTGTTCAAGTAGGCAACCATGCATCCTTCAAGATGGGAGGATTAGCTTCTGCCAACTTCTTGCCCCAGGGAGACATTGTGCCGCCTTCTGGCCCATCAAAGAGGCATAATGGTGTCACCAGTTCAGCTGTAGCTCATCAGGATGTTGCACCATGAAGGATGCTGCTGCTGCATGCAGTGCAAGCACATCAAAATCTGACATTAAAAGCCAGTGGGATCTGAACAGACTTCAAGCTTCAGATGTTTTTGTGTCAGATTCAGTCTATTATTCATCTTAGGTTTCTGCTTCAATTATTGTTTAGTAATCTAGCTCTTGTTTTCTGATCTCACTCAATGGTTCTCTCTCTCTTTCTCTGTTTCATCTCTGTGTTCTCTGCATGTTTTGATTATATAAATACTGCTTATAGCATGCTGGATTTCAGACTAATAAATAGAATATGTTATTTACTAGTGCATTTTCTTCTCAGAGTAGCTCATATTTGATGATACCTTCTTCTTATTCAAATTTTACTTCCACATAATAGTTAACAATGGTAATTATATCTTAACATAAAATATTTATTGCTGCATTGGACTATCTTCTTCTGTTAACTTTCTTTTCATCAAATGATTTTTTTCTGACAATGGTTATAAATGCTTGACAGAAAAAAAAGAGGCCATTTTAATATATTCTGTGAAGAACATCTGCAGTGAGGTTTAGCTAATTCTGATTCTACTCTTGAAATCATTTATTTTATGGAATCCACTTGCACACAGGACATGCTTGTTTTTGGCTGGTGAATCAGAGTATGCCAAAAAAAAAAAATTTATCTGATGCTTCTAAAGGGGAAAATATGTCGATGAAATCTAACAATCTCGAAGTTCTACTACTAAACACAAATCTCATGATAAGATTACTCTTTTACAACTTCGATAATCAAAGATATAGGTTTGGGTATGATTGTTTTTGTTGTCTCTCCTAACATCTCATGTTAGTGGTGTGAGATGATTGAATTGGATCATTATATTTGATGCATAATTTATCACTCCATATCTTGGTTGAGTCCAATAATATTAGTAAATAAATTAGACTACACGATTATCCACTCTATATGCATAAGAGTATTGACTTAGTAAAATATAATATTCAAAATTTATCCATGATCCTTGTGTTTCTTGATAGGATGAATTTCATATCATGAAGTATTCATTGTTCTTCTTGATAAAGTAAATTGGACACTATAGAATTTGATTCTACTTAAGCTCCTTCAATTCCTTGTAGTGTCTCTAAGGTCATAGCTCCAAGGGATTGATTTTGAGAATGGGACCTTCACTTTCAATTTGAGATTCTTCAAATTCCCATTGGATGGAACAATGCTGCCAAATTCTTTAGATGAATCTAACAATTCTCATTGAATAATTAATTAGATTAGTTATTTCATATTTTTTTATTTTTCTCTTTTAGTAGAACGGTAAAAGAAGAAAAAAAAAAAAGAGTAAGCCTCTAAAATCATGTGTTCGTTTTCTCTAATCGAATGACTTCAAGACCTTGGAGTAAGTATGATCTTTCAATATTAAAATAATAAATTTTATCTTTGACTTCAATATATTATGGTCTTTCGATATCAAAATAATAAATTTAATCTTCAAAGAATACCTTCAATACATTCAGATATTTCTATCTTTGATGATTGATCTAAATTGATGGTGATATGATAAATATTTATCCCCAACATAACTGCAACATAATAAATAATAAGATATTAATTTAAAATAATAATTCAGAAAATATTACATGGAGCTTACAAAATGTTACATTATAAATTGGTAATATTATCCATATCCATATTATTCACCCATTTGAATTCACTTGAAAACCAATTGGAGCTTGCAAATTATATTATAAATTACTGGTAAAATAATTATTTGTTTCAAAAATCATGCATTAAAAATTATATAATTTAAAATAGACACACAAGAAAAAAAAAGGTCCATCCAAAATGTTTCCTTTTGAGGCAGGACGCATGTCACTCTCAAGCTGAAGGTGGCGTCACCGCTTTACCTTCCTCGGCCTCTCACTCGCACTCAGAGACGAAGCAGCCATGTCTCTCCTCCCATCGCCTCCTCCTTCCCTTCGCACCGTTCCGGCCACCTCCGCCGCCTCCTCCACCGTTGCCCTCCGCCCCGTCGTCATTCTTCCGGTTGAGCCCTCTCCGTGCTTGTGTTGAACTTGGGCCACCTGATGAGGTAATATACGATCCCTTATTGACCTGTTTCGTGGTCTTCAGGGGCTGGGGAACAACACCGGGGACTACAAGGATATGGCCATGACGCTGAGAGAAGGGTACGGCATCCCCTCCGTGGTCGCCAGGGTCTCGCGCGTCGACTGGCTTCGCCATGCCGCCGCACTGCTCAGCCCCGGCTTCTGGAGGGGCAGTCTCCACCCTCGGCCCCTAATCGATTGGTACTGTACCGTTCTCGCGGCCTTGACTCTGTTTACTGCAACGGCGGAGTGGCAGTCGGAACTCTCGGCTTCTTTCTTGCCGTCTCGGCGCACTAATTAGCTTGTCGTTGTCAGGTATCTTGAAAGAGTCGCCGAGGCTGTTGCAGAGGCTAAGCTTCATTTGGAAGATGGTAATCTCATCAGACATTGTGAAATTTCAGCTGAAATTTGATTGAATTGAAGCTGGTTGATAGTGTTCCGTGCGTTGTAGGCTAACCTGTTCTTTCCTAACAGACGCAAATCTTTCTGTCTTTCAATGAGGATTTAATGTATGAAATAGTGTAAGATTCTGTTGGCAAGCTTCACAGAATCTGGATGGAGAGTTGGTTCTCCTAATATTTTGGTAAATTTGTTTGATTTCAGGATGAATTGAGCTCGAGGTTTTGGGTATCGTACCAGTTTCAATGATCTGGCTGGAGCGGTATGTACCAGTCGGTTCAGGTGTTTTGGAGAGGAGAAACCAGAGTAAAAGAGGAAGGGGCGGTGGAAGAAGAGGAGGAAGGAAGGAAGAAGAGGAGATAGTGGAGGAAGAGGAGTAGGAATTGGGAGGAAGAGGAAGGAGGAGAAGAGGTGTACTTGTGAGAAGTGGCACGGTGGAGGAAGAGGAGGACGAAGAAAGAAGAGGAGATGGTGGAGGAACATGAGACAGAAGCAGAAATATGATGAAGAGGAAGAGGAGAAGAGGGGTACACATAAGAAGTGATTAGGGCAAAGGTGGTGCATGGTGATGGTGTGTGACGAGGTCCTAGCATTCATGGGAAGCGGAGGTCACATTGAGAAGCATAGGTTGCGGCGTGCAATGTGCGTGAGAAGCGATTAGGGTTAGGAAAGTTTCCTGTTTATATGAGCGGACTGAACCGCCTAAACCGGAGCGATCTGCATATGGATTGATGCTTAGACCAGTACATACCGCCCGTTTCATGGTTTTTTATACAATTTGCTTTTGTTCTTATTTGTGTCCAAGTGATTAGAGTTAAGCTCGAGTATCAAAGTTGGGATTTTCATGGAACACTACAAAATCTAGACCTCTCTTTCACATAGTATTTAAATCTGTCACTACTCTGGTTTTGAGGTCAAAGAACTTCTCAACCCATTTACAGTGTGAAAATTTTTTGCTGACAAGTTTCATACAATGCAGCTGTATAGTTGTTTTTCCTGAACTTCTTGGTTGATCTTGTGGCATGAATCTATCTGTTTCTCTTTACAAATTTCTTATGTTGAATGTTAATTCCAACTTGCATATTGTTGTTGATAAGCTTGACATTGTCATTTGGCATTCTGTGGTTTGGTTTGGGACGATGAGAAGTAAAACTTTGTTTTTTAACATTATTTAGGTGGGAGCATATCGCTTGTAGGTCACTCGGCAGGAGGATGGCTTGCACGTGTATACATGGAAGAATTTAGGATGTCGAGAATCTCTTTACTGCTAACTCTTGGATCCCCTCACTTGTATGCCCTCTTTGTGGTTATTTCACTAATTCACTCAAATGATAAATTTTATAGTTGTGGAAATTATTTTCTCGATACAATGTGATTCTAGTTTGTCTTCCTTTTTTTGTTTTATCAATGCAATGTGATACTTGGGCTTTAATCCGTAAGTGATAATTTTTTTCAGGCCACCACCAAAGGGTTTGCCAGGAGTAATTGATCAAACCAGAGGCTTGCTGGATTATATTGAGAAAAATTGTGCACCAGCTGTTTATACACCAGAATTGAAATACATATGTATCGCTGGAAGGTATATCCATCATTATTGCATAAATTTGGTGCATCTGAAATATATCATGTTCTCTTCATGAGTGATACGAGTTCACCACTAATACAACCTTCAAGATAATCTAACAAATTATGCAATGAGATGTGCATTTTTTTAGAACTTGTGTTAGAACTTTTGCAGATTCTAAACTTGGGGTTGATCTCTTTAGGGGATCGGCCTCCTTGGAACTCTATAGGGGTTCCTCCCTCCAAGTTTGCTGCTCAAAGGCTGCAGAAAAGATTCATCTATTGCCTATGAAAAGAGGAGGTGTATATGGCTATTTATAAAGCTTCTAAACCATAACTCCTAATAAGACTCCTACTCAAGACTCGTACTTCTAACCAACTCATAATAGGACTCCTACTCAAGACTCCTATTCCTTTACAACTCCTAATTCTTCTTTAAGAAACAACCTCCTAACCCTAGCCGGCCTCTTCACCTCTTTAATAGGGGTCGGCTTAGGTAGGTTTTACATGAATGTCCCTCTCAATTAGGACTCTCCTAGCTAGAGTCCTAACAAAACCGCCCTCTTCAAATTAGCCTTGTCCTCGAGGCTGACGATTCATGAATTCTGAGAATTTGATCTTCAAGTCGTCATAGTTCTCCCAAGTGGCATCTTCTGTTGGTAGGTTCGCCCACTGTATTAGCACTTCAGTAGTGGGTCGTTGTCATCGAGTCACGATCCGTCGATCAATAATGGCACTTGGTTGGGGCTGGAGTTCTCCTTGGGTAGTCATATCTGGTGGGTGACTTTGGGCTGTCTCCAAGCACCTATTTACAACTTTCGTCTGGCCGTCGGTTTGTGGGTGATATGCCATACTCTTTTTCAATTTAGTACCCTGCATATGAAATAACTTTGTCCAAAATCTGCTCGTGAAGATGCAAGTAGAATTTGTCACAAGCACAATGCGTCTCTTATAACGTAATTCTTTTGAATCCCAATTGTAATGAGCCACAGAGCTTGGTGCTTCCTCCAATTTTTTATGATCTTACTGGTCTCCAGATCTTCCTGTCATTCCCTCTTAATATCCTTAAGGAAGTCACTAGTCGAAAGTGAAATGGCTAAAAATTCAGCTTGCTTAGGTAACCGTAAAAGTGCATCTACAACAACATTCTCTTTCCCCCTTTTGTAAGTTATTTCATAATCATATCCAAGAAGCTTTATTACCCATTTTTGCTGCTTGGGGGAAGATATCTTCTGCTCCAAGAAATATTTTAAGCTTTTATGGTCGGTCTTGATTTGAAAGCATCATCCGATCAAGTACGATCTCCACCTCGTTGCTGCATGTACAATGGCGAGCATCTCCTTATCATATGTTGACATGTTTTGATGGGAGGGAGACAATGCCTTGCTAGTGTATGTGAGTGGTCGACCATCTTGCATGAAAACGTCTCCAATTCCGACTCCAGATGCATCGGCCTCAATGATGAAGGGTCGGCTGAAATCTGGCAGTGCTAGCATCGGCATCATCGTCATGGCTGCCTTAAGTTTGTCGAAGGCAGTGGAGGCTTTGTCCGACCATTGAAAGGTATCATTTTTCAGTAGAGAAGTGAGCGGTGCACTGATCTTTCTATAGTTTTTCATGAACTTGCGGTTGTAGCCTGTTAAACAGAGAAAGCCACGTAGCAATTTTATGTTCCTCGGGGTTGGCCAGTTCTGCATTGCTTCTATTTTGGAGGGGTCCACCGTCACACCTTCCTCTGATATGATATGCCTAAGATATTCCACCTTTTGTTGAAGAAAGCAAAAATTCGTAGTGGCCGTTGTGTGTTCGAAAGACGGTTTTCGGTATGTCTTCTTCACACACTCGTATTTGATGATACTCGGATCAAATGTCCAGCTTTGTGAAGATTTGTGCTCCCTTTCATCTAGCAATTCATCTACTACTGGAATAGGGTATTTATCCTTGATGGTTATGCCATTGAGAGCTCGGTAATCAACGTATATTCGTCATGTTCCGTCCTTCTTGCGTACAAGTAGCACCGGTGAAGAGTAGAGGCTACAACTTGGCCGAATAACTCTTGTTTCGAGCATCTCTTTTACAATCCTTTCTATTTCATCCTTTTGGAGATGTAGATACTGATATGGCCGAGTATTTGCTGGAGGTTTGCCTGGAAGAATCATTATATAATGATCATGCCGACGGGTAAGAGGTAGGTTGTTCTGTTCGTCAAATATATCTGAAAATTCAGCAAGCAAAGGAAGTAGGTTTGGATCTTCAAATTATATTGGCTCTCCCTTAGTTTGCTGCTCAAGTTGTACTAAAAAGCCGCTGCATGCTTTATGCAAAACCTTCTCCATTTGTTTTGTGCAAATCGTCGTTACGTCGCCCTCACGTTTCCCGTATAGTATCACCTGTTTCCCCTTATTGTAAAATTTCATAATTAGCTTCATAAAATTCCAGGAAACATCACCTAATGTCGTCAACCATTCAATTCTGATCATGGCCTCATGATCATCAAGAGGGAGGAGGAAAAAATATGCAATTATCTCTTGGTCCTGCAGCAATAGTTTCACTCGCGAGCGCCTACGATCATACTTCAAAATCCATCCATCGACGACCTTAACGTCAAACCTGCTGCAATTCTCGATAGGTAAGGCCATCTAGACAACAACCTTACTGTTTAGGAAGTTATTAGTGCTGCCCGTGTCGATGAGAATAGTGATCGATTGTTGTTTGAGAAGGCCTCCAACTTTCATCGTTTGTGGGTTTGAGTAGCCGGTTAGTGCATGTACCGTAACTTCGATCGGTTGTGGCTCTTCTTCTGCATCTTCTTCTTTATGTTCAAGGCTCTCTTCTGGATGTTCAATGACCTCTTCTTCTACTGGTTTAATCATAAGAAGTCTCCCTTTACTACAGCGATGCTCACGGCTCCATGGCTCGTCGCAATGCCAACATAACCCCTTCGCAGATCGCTCCCGAAGTTCTTCTCTTGTCAAACTTTTTGGTGCAGGGACTCGGTTGATAGTAGAGGGGGCTGAGGGCTTCGATATTGCTAGTTGGGGAGCAACCCTAGTCCTTCGAGCTTCATGGTTCAATCGCTCCTCTTGAAATCGTGCGAAAGAGATGGCTGCCATAAGCGTGTACGGTTGTCGCGCTTTAACTTCTCCCTGGATCTCCGGCTTCAAGCCATTAATGAAGGTCCTCAGTAGCTGTTTTTGAGACCAATCACGAGTTTGATTAGATAACCTTTCAAACCTGGTTTGGTACTCTTGAATGGTGGAGGTTTATCGGATCTTTGCTAGTTGTCCATCAATGTTCTCATAATCGGTTGGTCCGAAGCGGATCAACAGTCCTTCTTTGAATTGTCGCCATGAGAGGACTTCATGAGTGTGTTCAAACCAGTCAAACCACTATATGACATCCCCTTCAAGATGTATAACTATAATTTTCACCGTAGATGTGTCCGTGGTTTTGTGGTACCAAAAGTATCACTCCGCGTGCAAGATCCAATCAATTGGGTCTCCTTCTTCCCATCTAGGGAAGTCCACCCTCATGCGTGGATAGTTGGGGTCGGTCATAGAGCCTCCCCTCTCTTGGAAGTTATCTCTTCGGGCTTGGTGCGATTGGTTTGAGCTCTCTCCTTGATGTGATTTCTTTGGGCTTGGTGGTCGGCCCAAACTGAGTTCGGTAAAGAGAGTCCGAATCTTATCCTTTATTCGGGCCTCGAAGGTTTCGAATTTAGCATTGATTACCTCCTCAGATGCCATGGTATATGCCTCCAAATCTGTGATGTTAAAATCTCTTTTTTGTTGTCAGGTTAAAGATACGTATAGGTTGAGAGAAGTGATGGTCGAAAGGGTTGGTGGATTGGTGGATGTAGACTGTGGTTTAGGCTTGTTTTGTGGCTGTTTTAGGTGCAGTTTGAGAGTGTGGTTTGGTGGAGTTTTAGGACTATGGATGAAAGTTTTGGATCTGTGGTAGATGGCAGCAAAGGTTTGATAGAAATCAGTGGAAGTTGCTGCAAATATGTGCTGTCTTGTAAGAGCAGAATTGTCGTCGAAGAAATAGCAGTTTCTCGACGAAATTTTCATCAAAAACTTGGGAGATTTGAGGAGGGACTTGACAGCAAAATCTCAGTTTATATGACAGCAAGGATGTCCTATTTAATCAAGAAAATTTCGACAGTATAATAACAAGGAAATTGGTGTAAGTTGCGATAGCAGAATTCTCGTCGAAAAATTTCAGCGGTTTGCGATGAAAATTTACAGCAACACAAAATTGTTTTTAGAGATGAATTCCTTAATAGATCAATATTAGATAGAAGCCAAGATGATCTATGAAGTGTATAAGAAATTTCGTTCAAAAAGGATTGCTAATAGATCGGTTAAGGCAACAATATGTGATTGAAATTTTCTGCAGATTTTCAAGTATAGCAGATTAGACGTAAAAGATCAGTGGTTTATATTAAAAAAATTTCGACGAAACGAAAGGGAAATCCACTGTTATGAAGTGTCAAAGCTATCATAAAAATTTTGTAGAGATTTGGACAGAAAAAGCGTAGTAGCAAGATCAAACAAACTGTGCTATACGATAGGAATTTTACAGTGTAGATTTTCAAGTATAGCAATTTAGACGTAAAAGATCAATGGTTTATATTGAGAATTTTTTGACAAAACCAAAGGAAAATCTACTGTTAGGAAATGTCAAAGTTGTCATAAAAATTTCATAGAGATTTGGATAGAAAAAACGCAGTAGCAAGATCAAACAGACTGTGCTATGCGATTGGAATTCTGCAATGTATCTTTCGTCGTAGAGATGAAAACTTTGTGACGAAAATTTATGCAGCAATTTTGGAACAATTTTTTTTTAGATTTTCGAATAAGGATAACTAAATTGCAGTAGCAGTAAGGTAGGAAATCAGAACCTGTAGTAATTCATGGGGAGATCAAAGGATGATCTGCGGTGGCGGAGATGACGATGGAATTTGGCCACGATCTTTTAAGCAATTGTGGGAATTGCTTTGGGCGATTGTGGAGGGCTGATGGATGGCTGTGAAAGGGCAGCGAGACGCCAAGAACGTTGCTCTGATACCAGGTGTTGGAACCCTTGCAGATTCTAAACTTGGGGTTGATCTTTTTAGGGGATCGACCTCCTTGGAACTTTATAGGGGTTCCTCCCTCCAAGTTTGCTGCTCAAAGGCTGCAGAAAAGATTCATCTATTGTCTATGAAAAGAGGAAGAATACATGGCTATTTATAGGGCTTCTAAACCCTAACTCCTAATATGACTCATATTCAAGACTCCTACTTCTAACCAACTTTTAATACGAGTCCTATTCAAGACTCCTATTCCTTTACAACTCCTAATTCTTCTCTAAGAAACAACCTCCTAACCCAAGCCGGCCTCTTCACCTCTTTAATAGAGGTCTGCTTAAGTAGGTTTTACATGAATGTCCCTCTCAATTAGGACTCTCCTAGCTAGAGTCCTAACAACTTGACAGTAAGGTTTGGGTGTGCAATTGTTAATTTGAATACTGTGGTCTTCTGTTTCATATATTCTGCTACAAATGTTCATATTGGACTATAAATTGTCGACCATTCTAGTATGGTAATCTTCATGGTGTTATATATGGAAAATGACAATTCCTGATCATAGATTTAAAATGATATTTATTTTATTTGAACGATTGATCAATTCCATCTTGCATATCATTTTCAGGCATACACTTATGTATCACTTGTTTCTTCTTTGCTCAAATAGATATTAGGCTTATTGGATAAGGTACGAGGAGTCTTGTGATATCACTAAGAGAAGTCCCACATGCGATGTGGGCTAGATGTAGTTTTATGTAATTACCTTCACCCTGAAGTGCAACTCCTTTAGAAGGATTAGAAAATTGACAGAATTTTGTTCAATAATATTTGACAGTGTGACAAATCATTAGATAAAAGAAAAATTATATACTAGCATGGCTGCAAATAGCATTGGTTCTAACATATAAGGAGCTTCTGTTGCAAAAGATTTCTACTTTCCACAGGTATATCCAAGGAGCTCCTTTGTTTGGGAATTCGAACGACCCTTCTTATGATCCGATGCTTGTCGGTGAGGAGCTGAACAAGATCAAGTTGCCTGCAAAATACAGCAATGACAAGTCCCTCTCATCTGCACCCAGCTTACATGCTCGCTTCGTAGGTCAAAGTTACAAGCAGGTATACGGCATTCTTTTGATTAGCAGATAATTGGTTATCCTTTCATTGAAATGTTTCTTTGAAGCCCAACTTAAACCCATGCATCCAATGGAAACTCAAATTCTTTTCACCTGAAATTTGGATGACTAGGTATTTTACCAATGAGGAATCATCAAGCAATTCTCGCATCTATTCACAGATTTATATGCTTGCTCATTCATGTTCTGATTGCATGGTGGGTCAAAAGCAAAAGAAACCCCCACTCTGTAAATCAAGTTGGCAGCCATTGCAGAAAAGAAGCTTAGCTTCAGATTGCTACATTTCAATTGATAGGTTGGGGTGGTTGTCATTCTTTCTTTCTGCCAATTTTCATTTTCCGTCATTTTTGCAGGTGTGCGGGCAAGCAGATGTTTGGGGAGACGGTGTTGTTCCGGAAGTGTCTGCTCATCTTGAAGGTGCACTGAATATAAGCTTGGATGGTGTTTATCATTCTCCAGTTGGTTCTGATGGGACAATAAGACCATGGTTTGGTTCTGCATCTGTGCTCAAGAAATGGGTCCATCACCTTTTGACGTGATGACAGGAAAAAGAAATTGTGTGTGCAGATTTCTATCGATAGCAATGTTCATCAGCAGTTGAACGACCATCGGAAACAAAAATGCCTTCCTACAAATTCTGTGGATTGAGTGGTGACGTTTGACCAGAATCAATATGTGAACCTGAGTTTTCAATAGTAAGATGGATTCCTCAACTAGTAGGGGATTTGGCCCTACTTTCTTCTGCTCAATAAATATTTTTCTTTAATGTTTTGATCATTACCCCCCCCCCATATTATTTAAGGTGTCACTAATCTTGTTCTTCTTATTAGCAATTTATGTAATCATTAACTCATTGTTCTTTGTTCAAACCTGTAATTTCTAAAAATTTTCAGCTTATTTTATTCCAGTTACCGTTAATTTTACAACCGGTTTTCACCCCCTTATTGTTATCACAATAGTTCTTTGATGGTAGAAAACTAAGACATGGGTCATTCATGTGTTTACATATTTCTATATTTCAATTGTCTCTTTATCATATCATATTATATTATACAGTACTTTCTTCACATACCACAAGATTAATTATATATTTTTTTATAATTAATTTTTTATTATTCTGATTCTTATATTTTTTATAAATTATATTAGAATTCCTATCTTTACAAAAATAAAATAAAATATTAATTATATATATTAAAAAATAATTTTTTAAAATAAAAAATAAAACATTGTTAAAATAATAATATTAAATATTTCACTTTCATAACTATAAAAATCTTCATATAATTTTTTAAAAATATAAATATTAAAAATAACTAATTATAAAAAACAATTTATATAATTAACCTCATAAAACATAACTTACAACCTTACTAACTTCAATTTTGTTTTCTTTGTTCTTATCCTGATTCTAGGCAAGATAACAAAACAACTAAAGTATAACCTTCAACCAAAATGCTTGTGCACAGCTTTGCAAGCATGACAACAATGGCGGAACAGAGTGAAATGCTATGACCAGCCAATGCACTAACATCTGAGTGAACGATAAAACAAGACAAAGAGTTACTACAGCATGACTAGAGTTCTACCACAGCATACGCAAGAACACACTTAGAAAAGATGGGGAGTTCAAAATTCTCCACTGCTACAAATAAAAAGTCCTAAACACTGCTGACACCAACAAACGTAGATCAAACTGGGAACATGAAAGCAACAGCATGATTCCTTCGTTGATTTCATTTACGTTTGGGGAAATGAGAAGCTATCAGTCCTGAAATCTCTAACATCCGAACCTTGTCTCTACCATCAAATATACTCTTCAGCTTATCATCACAGTGAATCTCACTCTTGGTTGCTGTGTCCTGAATTGAATGATAAACCTAATTAGCAAAGAAACAGGACAACGGAATTAACCTAGTACATACGATACAGAACATATTTACAGCACAAATATGTAAACATGATACTAGGTTTTTACATGGCTCAAACTATAACCATGACTGTAACCCTAATACCTAATACATACAGGCTTTCAAGTGCTAAACAAAGAAAGACTTCCAAACAAAAGCCCAGCGGGTTAGCATGATTATTTTCTCAGATGCATTTATAAGATTACAGTTCATCTAACTAAAATCCTGTTCTCAGCATACTGCTTATATGACCATCTGATGGTGCACTCGACTTGCACTGCCCTCTTTTGATGGACTCATGTGGCCTCTGCAGTGAATTGAGACACACATCAACAATGTTCTTTTCATTTACAACTCCATAATGTTAATCCAGACACACACCTTTTTCCCCTACTGTATGACTAATATATTAATATATGGCAAAAAACACACGAAAACCCTAGTTAGTCCTGAAGAACCATGTGAAAACTCGATAACTACTAGTTTTGCTAGCTAAACGGAATATATAACATCAGAGCATAACGAATCCACTACTGTGATTTGTTAAGCTAAAGTAAGATGCTTGCTGCATGGTTGTTTCCCATGATGAGGATGTTCAAAGACATTTAAAATGAATCATTATCGATTTATAATTCATAGTCTCAAAAAGTCTCCTAGAATCCCACCCTATGTATAACACCATTATAAGATTTGTAAATGAGTTCCCAAAAAACCAAAAGCTCATTGGATAAAGCAAACATCTTGCTTCATCGATTACTATCGCAAGCAACATAGTGCTTTCTATGGTTGTCTTACACCTCAAACAACCTCACATCTCAACTAGACAATTTGCCACAACATTCTACACACAGCATTTATATCCTTCTTTTGTTGCTAGTTCGAACGGAAGGGGGAAATCATGAAAAGTTCTGCAAAAGAGTGTCCACTCTTCTGAATGTTGTGTTGACGCCATTATATGATGTAGCAGATGAATATAACATCCGAGCATGAATATTCCTGCACACATACTGTTGACATGAACATGCAACTCATTTTGCTGGGAGAACTGCTGGTAACTTTGAAGGTACATAAAAAAGGTGGATTGGTGTATAATAGACAATATTTGCCTTAAAAAGTGTACGGGACTCTTATTTTTAAGCCCTGCTGCATCCTAGCAGCTCAATCGACCACAGTTATGGAGCTTCTTCAAGGAATACAAACGCCAGTGACGAACATATGAAACGCAAGAGCATTAGTAGCACAAACAGACCCAAAGGAATAGCCGATGTAATACTTTTCTTGAGACAAACTTCGACCTATATAATGGCATTAATGAGCTCATAAACAACCCTAAATCATCCATTCTTTGAGGCAAATGAAACCATATCCTTCTCGACACAATATTGCCACAACCAACTACAGGAATATTGCAGATAGCAAACAAAGTGCCTTTGCAGAAGAACGGATAAGAGTAGAAGCCAATAGACAAGCCCAAAAGACGGTAAGAAGCATCAAACCCTCGGCAAAGCAAAGGGGAGGAAACGTTGATCGACAAGATTCGGACCTGAAGCTGGTTGAGCTTGATGTGCTCCCAGATCTTCTTAATGGCTACGTTACGCGAGATCTCGGAGGCGCCAACGAACTTCTGCATGGCCGGGGAGATGGGGTGCGGCTTGAGGAAGCCGCTCTGCATCTTCTCGGCCGCCGGGGAAGCAGCCTCCGCCTTGGCCGCCACCATGAGGACCCTGCACCCACCAAAAACCCTAGACATGTCTCCCACTCTCACCTTGGAATCGATGCGCAGAATGGGGCAGAACTGAGGGTTTTGATTTCTCCCGTGCATTCTTATAGCGAGGCGCTGCCTCACACCACCACGACTTAACTCACGTAAGCTACGCCGCTCGTTTCGCTTTCTCACGTACGCCACGACTGTGGATCGTGAGTAAAGTCGGCGGTAATTTTTGAATTCGAACACATCTGCTATACTGGCAATTAGCAACCCACTAATGAGGATTGAGCAAAAAATACAAAGATAATACTTGACATTCATATCGGTCTTAATATTATTTTTGGATGATTAAATCTGTTAACTAAAATTCTTTTATCTATAATTTGAATTATTTTCCATCGTGCATCACATAAAATAATTTTGCCTTCATTTTTATATGTGTGAGCCACGTCAGTCAATTGTAAAGCGCCAAATGAGTGGATTCGGTGCGAGTTGTGGGCTCAATTCAGGCCCAAATCTGGTCTTTATTGGGCCAGATTTAGGAATTATAACGATAGATAATGAGTGGATTAATAGATATAAAGAGAATTCTCTTATGCTATCATCTCATTTTCCTTAATCTATTATTAATATTTTATTTCTACTATTCAAGAGAAACATTATAAGCATTAGTGGTGCAATTACATCATGAAGCAACGTATTAATTATTTGTTAGCTAAAATTATCAATACAAACACCCCTAATTAGTTTCACATTGGTGAGCAAATATTAAGATTGGATTATAAGAGTCTGGTGAGTATATTATAAGAGTTTCAACTTAGGCATTTTGATTAATAGTTGAACCGAATAAGAGATATTGGCTAATTAATTTAAAATTTTTATAGTTTGAAAATATTTATCATTCTTTTTAATGTTAAAATATTTATTGTTAGATTAAGATATGTTATATGAAGCTTTTAAGGGATCCTTCAATCCTCTTTAAAGGTTTATTTGGATTTAAATACAATGAAGTTAATGTTTTATATATTGAATACATGATATTTGATTCTTCTATTTGGATTAGGAATATTATTTTCACATTGTAGTTTACCTTTTAATCTTATTTAGATTAAAATATACTATGAGTAGTTTCAAAAAGAAAAGAGAGTTTATTATGTAAATATGGATAATAAAATACTGATTTTATTATTCTTTTTATAAATATGGGATGTGACAAATTTATCAAAGTAATGATTTTGAGGACATGATGGAATATGTTATCCTAAGGTTAGAATATTAGATTACTCAATTAATTTTTAAAATTTAGATTTTGAAAATTAGATTATAATGCAACTAAAACATGTATTTAAGATATTAGGATCATTTTAGTGAGTCAAATATAGTTTCTTTATAAAAAAAATAATTGATTAAAGATGTCATAACCTTGTTAAATGACTTAAAATCATATTATTGAGTAAAATACCAAAATTTTATTTTTTTCACTAAATTAAAATAAGTGTTGTATTAGTTTATCTTATAAACTCCCATAAGTTTTTACATTTTGAATATGATTTTGTTATTACCCTTTGGTTGTTAATTTAATTATAGAATGTATTATTTTCCTTTTGAGATATATATGATAAATAAATATTATTAATTGACTTAGTTATTCATGAAGATGCACATATTAGATTTATATCTAATACTGAAAAATAATAATAATAATTTGGTAATCTGACTTAAAATATCATATGATGCTTATATTCACTATAAAATATTTAGAATTTTATTTTATTTTATAAAAAAATAAATAAATTAAGTTTATTTCACAAGCCTTATAGCATTTATTATTTCGATCATATCATTTTTATGTTAGGGATCTAAAATTTATTCATATAATTTTGTTATAAATTTAAAGTAGATTATAATGAAGGAAGTTTGACATAATTTATATTATAGTTTGATATATTATTTTTGTTATCCTCTGTTCTATAATGTTATTTTATTTATAATTATGAATAGGATAAATTTAATAAAACATATTTGTTACTATATGGATTCTTTACGATCGATGATTAATTATCTTTTATGGTTTTGTCTTAATGTTTATAGTTAACATATCTAG